CTCGATCCCAGGACCCTGGGATCATGACCTGAGCCAAAGGCAGAGGCTTTAACCCACCGAGCCCCCCGGTGCCCCTAAAATAAACTATTGTAGAGCATTTGAGACCTTATGGTGCAGTAGGTCAGTGACACCCGTGTACTCTGCAGCTCTTGAGGCCAATAAAAGCTTGCCAGAGTGCTCAGAGTCTCCTTGGGGACCCCTGTCCTGTCGCCTTCCCCCATCCCTGCTCAGTGACCACCGAGAGCAGTGATCTTCATCTCTGTTCAGCTGTCTTCTGTGCAGAGCTAGACGTCCCCTCCCCTCCCTCTAGCCCACTCCCCACACCGTGGGGCCATGGCCCTTCTCATGGCCGTTCTCCAGCAGGATTGTTGTGTGGAGGCAAGCTCTGCAGTCACACAGGGCGGGGTGTCACCTGCCTGTGGCTGCACAGCCTGGAAGCCAGAAAACCTGGGGGTGAAAGTCAGATCCTCCAGACCTCCTCCTTCCTCATTGGTGACCCAGCCTCCTCCTCCTTCTTCTTTTTTAAGATTTTTTTATTTATTAGAGAGAAGGCAAATGAGCATGAGCAGGGAAGTGACAGGCAGAGGCAGAGGAAAAGGGAGAAGCAGGCTTCCTGCTGAGCTGAGAGCCTGATGCGGGCTCAATCCCAGGATCCTGAGACTATGACCTAAGCCAAAGGCAGACACTTAACGACTGAGCCACACAGGCGCCCTAACCCAGCCTTCTTGAGGGGAAAATGCAGGCACACCAGCTTTGGGGAGGACGAGCCCTGGAAGCCAGGACGCCTGACTTTGGTTCCCCTCATTTTTTGGACTCTCAAACCTAGGTTCTTTCTTTATAGTTACTTTTTTTGTCATAGGATACAGAAAGATATGTTAAGCCCGTTTTGTGTGGTGCAGTATAACAAACAGCTAACGAGCAGAGCCCGGCGTAGCCACAGCAGAACACAGTCAGCTCCTGGAAGATCCCCCTCCAGTACTCCTGATACCCACTCTCCTGACGTTCACGGATTTGGTTCCTTGACATTCAGCATCGTTTTATAAGTGAGAAAGGCGTCCCAAACACGTAGTGTGGTGGTGGTGCCTGTTCCAGACATACTGTGAATGGACCCATGACTGTCGTGCTGTTGTGTGTCTGGCTTATTTCATTTATTTCATAGTAACCTTCTTAGGCTTTGTCCCTGTTGTATGTGTTGGTAGTGAGTGGAGGAACGTTCTGCTGTATGAATTTACCTCCGTTTGTTTATCCGCTCTCCTGTGGTAGACACTTGGTCTACTTCCATTTCAGGGGTTACTGTGAGTATTGCTGCTGTGAACATTCTAGTGTAGGTCCCTTGCTAAACAGGGTTGGGTTGTGGAATTGCTGGTCCTGGAGTATGGGTGCTTATTGAGTTTTAATTTTTACTGCCAAGCAATTTTCCTTAGTGGGTGAACCATTTTACATTTCCACCAGTAATCATTTGTGTCTTTGTCAACACTTGGCATTGTCAGTTTTTAAAATTTCAGCCATCCTCTTTCTCTTGCATTTCTCTTTAAATAATGAGATTGTATGTGTACCTTAGTAGTGTGGGTGTCCTGTCTTGTGAAGTGGCCTTGCCCTTTTCACCTTGCCTCCCAGGGAGCTCACCTTGAGCCTACAGGCTGCAGCTCTGGCCCAGGCACTTGACTGACTTGGGCCCCGACACTCAAGGAAGTGGCGAGTGGGGATGGGGCCATGTAGGCCCTCCCTGCCATGGGGTGTGCTGCCTGTGGGCCGGTGGCCGGGGCAGGCCCCTGCGTGCTGACACTGGCTTCCAGAGGCCATTCTCTGCCCTCCTGCCTGGGCGGCCTCTGCCGGCAGCTCCCTGGGGAGCAGGCCATCCTCTTGGCTTCAGTGCCTGGTGTTTCATCACTCCAGGGCCACGTCAGAGACTCCTCAGTGGGAGGATGGGGTGGGGTCTGGGAAGGGCAAGGGGGGTCTTCCAGTTCCTCCCCTGCCCTTGCTCAAGCTGCTGCTGGCTCTCTAGATGCCGAAATGAGAATGTAGAAAGTGGCCCCAGGTGTCGAGCAGTGGCCAGGGCTCCCGCCTTCCTCAGCAGGGAGACCCAAGATAAATGGCTTCTTCTCTCTGTGCTTCTGCCCTCCCCTGGGCATGGTCACTGCCCTTCCGGTGGGGCGGTTGTGATTGTTCAGGAGGGACTCCACGAGGGCACCCCACTTGCTCAGGGCCACCTGGCTGGCAGCAGCTCTCAGACTCTGCGATCCTGACCGCTCTTGGCCACACCTGGCTGCCTTTGCTTCTCTCGGACCATGGCAGCTGTGTGTTTGAACGCTCACCCACGTGTTTGGCTGTTCCCCGGGGGCCAGGCCAGGCAGTAGGCCGAGCTACCAACTATCCCAAGACACGCAGAATCACGGAGGTGAAGTCATCGGGCTGGAGATGGGAGGGGAGCCCAAGATTGGACGCCAGGCCCCTGGTCCTGTCTTTCCACATCCACCCTTCCTTGGGACTCGGGTTCTCCATCTGGCTTCTTTGGAACTTCTGAATCGAGCTGGTACTGGAGAGAGTGCGGTGCCAGCCCCTGTGTCAGGGGAGGACCTCTGAACTTCCCACCACCTCTAGCCAGGCCTGAGCTTCACGAAGACAGGGGCTGTGTCTTCCTGATGATTCATCTCCGGGACCCCTCTGGTTGTTTGGAGCTTAAGATATGCTCAGAGGAGACTGGTGGTGTGAATAGACTCTGGAAATGTTTCCATGGCTTTGTCTGGCCCTGGGCTGGGGAGACGCGGCTCATTCATTATGCACTTGGCAGATACCCAGATGCTGCGCTCATCCACTAGATGAGCACTGAGTTAGGTGTCGGGAGAATTGGCTGAGGAGGTGCACAGAGGGCATCTAGGCTCTGAGGTCAGGAAGGCTTCCTGGAAGAGGCTTTGTTTCAGCTGAGACCTAAAAGGAGGAGGGAGAACCCACAGAAGGTATAGGGGATGGAGGCCAGAGGGACGGGCCAGAGAGATAGAAGCCTGGTTAGAGAGAGGGGTGTGGGGAGGAGGAGCTGGAGACAGACATAGTACCAGCTATAGTCGTTGTCATGGTCATAGCTTTCTGGGTGACACTGGGCTCGTGCTGGAAGGGACTTTGTTCTGTGAGCACACTGGGGAACCCCAGAAGGGTTTTTAACCTGGAAGGACAGGGCCAGATTTAGATGGAGTCTAAGGGTTGAAAGCAGAGACTCAGAGCCCAGGGAGAAGGCCAGGGCAGTTGGGAGAGGTGTCAGGAAGCGGGTGGATGGACAGTGGGGACTGCTGGCCTGAGCAGGGGCAGGAGGCAGCTGGAGTGAAGGTCAGCAGAGGCCAGGTCCTGAAAGGCCTTGAATCCCAAGCGAGGGAGCTCGGCTCTTTCCCGAGGCCAACGGGAAGCCACGGAAGGGTTTTGAGTGGGGGAAGGACAAGGTCAGATTTGAGGGGTCTGGCTGGTGAATGGGGACAGATTGAAAGGAGGGATAAGGGAGCGGGAAGTCTAGGGAGGGGGTGAGGGAGGCCCTCAAGGGAGAGGACAACACTGGACCTGGACGGGAGCCAGTGAGCCAGGCCACTGGGAGGGCGGGAGGGGGGGCAGGAGGCGGGGCGAGAGGCGGGGCGAGAGGCGGGGCAGGTGCTGGGACTGGTCACATTGGAGGTGGAAGCGCAGGCTGCTGGGATCTTCAGGCTCTGCGTCCTGGGTGTTCTGTCCGCGGAGCGTGAGCCCCTCAGGGCTGGTCCTGCCTGCTGCGCACAGGGGCCCCTCTGCTGCTCCTGGCCCTGCCTTGGCGGCTCGGAGTCCAGAACGTGATTTCTCACCCCCGCTGTTTACTTCCCTGTCACTGTCCATCTTGTCTTTCCTTTCGCTTCCTCCCACTTACCTCCCTTCCCTGCCCAGGCCTGGGCAGCCTGCCACCGTCACATGCCAGGCAGTAGTGCGTCCGGCCGCCAGCTCCCCTGGGGCATGAGCGAAAGCTGATGCCCACGGTGTCCCTAGAGCCAGCTGCCACTTCTCTGGGGGCCGCTGTAGCTCCTGACCTGCTGTCCGCAAATAACCCCAGCCTGGGAAAGGCAAAAGGCGCCTTGGGCTCCATGGCCCCTTTCCAGGCTTGTGGCTCCAGGTAGGGGCCCAGCGGGCGGCTGCCTCCCGCCCTTCTCCCTTCCACCCTGGGAACCTGAGACGAAGCAGTGGCCTCGGCGTCTGTCAGTCTGTTGGCTGCTGGTCCCTGAGGACAGAAGTGGAGGTCCTGGGGAAAGGACCAGGGCCTTGGTTGAGCCCCCGGGACTGGCTCCTAAGCCCCAGACAAGTGCATACACAGTAGGTTGCTGTCTTGTTCGAGATCCTGACTGTCGGAGACTTCTCTTCCCGCAGTCATCTGGTGGGGCAAAGAGGGGACTGAGGCTGAGGGAGTGACGTAGGGTGGCTTGGCACAGGGAGTGGGGGATACTTGGTTTGCTAAGGGTGCTAGGCTGAAAGGAGGGGAGGGAGCAGAGAAAGAGTGTGCAGTGTGTGTGTGTGTGTGCGTGTGCGTGTGTCTGGGTGGGGGGTGGCAGGCAGATGCTGGTGGCTTTGAGCGCTCCCTCAGGTGCCCAGGGCTGTCTGATTCATCCCAGGTTACCTCAGTGTGGGGGCCCGGGAGTGACATGGGGTGGGGCCACTGCTCCCTCCTTCCCACCCAGTGCGCAGTGAAGGCAGGCGGGTGGCAGGACTGCCTCGGCTCAGGGAAGCTGGAGGAGGCCAGGGAGCTCTGTTCCCTCCAGAGTAAGGCTCTGAGGGCAGGGTCATGCTCCCCCTGCCCCCAATCCCCAGTTGGAGTCCCTGAGGACGAGGCCACATCTTTCCCCTCGGTCTGGGCCAAGTGGGCAGGGCTCCCTACCCTCCTTGACTCCACTCCGTGCGCGCCCGCCAGGCAGCCAGAGGGGCCAGAGCCTAGTTGGCCTGAGGGCAGGGGCTGCGGCTAAGTCCCCCTGACGTTCACAAGCTCCTCTCTTGTCTTGCAGACTGTGTTCTGTCCACCGTGCCTCCTGCATGTTCTGCTGCCCTGAGCTGTCCCAAGCTAGGTGACAGCGTGTCACGCTGCCACCATGAACGAGGTGTCTGTCATCAAAGAAGGCTGGCTCCACAAGCGTGGTAAGGGGCTGCTTTTGTCCACTGGATTGCATCTCTCCCCTCTTGCCTGGGTTTTCCTCCTGGCAGCTGGTGCCCAGGGAGGCAGAGGGACAGGGTCCTTATGGCCTAAGGAGCCAGGCTGCTGAGACTGACCTGCCTGCCCAGGCCAGTTGCTCCTCACAAGCCCGTTTCGTGGAATCCTTCAGCAGCAGCCTGGGGAGCTGCAAATCTGCCTGGGGCTCAGTCCCCCGGCCTTGCTGGGCACCGTGTATAAGCCCCCGGGGCCAAGTCTCAAATCTGCCTCTGCATCCGTGGTCTGAGTCATAGCCCCATTTTATAGATGAAGAAACTGAGGCTCAGGGAGGGGAAGTCTCTTGACCTAAGTAACACAGTGAGGCAGTACTCAACATTCATTCATTGTGCACCTACTGAGTATGTGTGGTCTGCCAGGCCATCCTGGGCTCCCAGGCTCCTGGGACATGTGCCCTCATGGAGTTGACATTCTAGTGGGGGCTGAGGACACCAAACAGAGAAGCAGGCGTACGATGTCAGGTGGTGAGGAGTGTTCTTAGGAGCAGTAGGGACTCTGAGGGCGAGCCTTTCTGAGGAGGGGGCAGTGGTGGAGGCCCGGGGTGGGAGGGGGGAGGGTGGAGGGAGGTGAAGGAGTGAGCCACACATGTAGCTGGGCAAGGCTGTCCTAGGGAACAAGATAGTAGGGACAAAGGCAAGAGTGTACCTGGTTGAGTTGGCCGGGCTGGCTGGAGTGGGGAGAGCAAGGCCTAGCCGGATGTGGCATCCGACCATGCTGGGCCCTGGAGGCCATGGGAAGGACCTTGGCTTTAATTAACCCTGCAGGCGATCTGAGCCCAGGACGCTGGGAGCTGGGCCTGGCCTCATCTGCTTTTACGGCTGGGCAGCTGAAGCCTGGAGAAATGAAGTCATCAACAGTGAGGAGCCTAACGGCCTGCAGCGTTAGAGCCCAGGCCTCCCGTCCCCAGAAGCGTGGAGCTCCTGGCTTGAGGGGGCAGCCGTCCAGGCGCTGTGGAGTGAAGGAGGCAGACTGTCCGGCTTCCGTGGACCTTCTCCTAGGGAGGGAGGGGGCCAAACCTTGTGGTCACTGCTTTCTGTGCGCCCCCATTTAGTCAGCAGACTCGTACTGAGCGGCTGCTGTGCTCCAGGCACTGGCGACTCGGCAGTGGACCAGGCAGGCGAAAGTTGCCCTTCTCACATTGATGTCTTACATACAGGGGCATGGAGAACAGTGGAGCAGCGGGAGAAGGGATGTGGGAGGAAGCAGGGGGAGCTGTCATAAACAAGGGTGGTCCGGGATAGCCTCACTGAGAAGGGGTATTTGATAATGACCTGTGGAAGTGCAGGGAGTGAGCCCCACGGCTACCTGGGGTAGGAGAGGGCAGCCGTGAGGCCAGAGGGGGAGTGGGCCAGACGTGTTTGAAGAGGTAAGGAGGCCAATGGGGCCAGTCCCGTGAGAACCAGAAGTGCCCTCTCCTTCTGCCCTGTCCCAGTCTGCAGACGCAGAGCAGTGAGGAGGGATGGAAGTGTTCCCCAGGGCCAAGCCTTCACCATCAGACTGGGCAGGGGAGACCTGATTCCCACTGACCTTTCCAGGCAGGGATGGTATATGAGGCACCTTGATCGTACTTGCCCAGGGTGGCCATGAGTTTGGGGCTGTCGATGGAACTTTCTGAACCTTGGCAGATGTCAGAGTTCTAATCCTGGCTCTGCCACTTCCTCTTGGTGACTCTGAGCAAGCTCTGTTACCTCTCTGAGCCTTGGTTTCACATCTGTAAAATGGGTTAACAGCCCAGGCCTCTGATCTGCTCAGTTCTCTGAGGGCAGGGATTGTTATCTGGCTATTTACTGTGGTAGCCCCAGGGCCTAGGAGAGTTCTTGGCATGGAACAGGTGCTCAGTTACTGATTGCTGATAGAATGATTGGGATCGTGTGTGCGGGTGGTATGAGGGTGTTAGGGTGTTGCCAGGGTCTCAGCTCCTGACTGTCCCCAGGCCAGCAGCTCACTGGGCTGGGCTGCGAGGAGCTCTGGAAGCAGCCAGAGAGCTATTGCCAGGCCGGGAACTTGTGTCTGGTCTAGGGCTGCCAATGGTATTAAATGTGGGTCTTAACCCTTCTTATGCCTTCAGCACCTCCACTCATGCTGCCAGGGCCCAGATGAGCTACTCAGATGGTCCGGCTGGGATGTACCCACCTTGGGTTTGCCCACGCAGATGCAGGGTGCTCTGGGGCCTCCCACTGCCTGCCATTCTTCTTTTTTTTTTTTTTTAAGTAAGCTCTAGGCCCAACTTGGGGCTTGAACTCCTGACCCCAAGATCCAGAGTCGAATGTTCTAAAGACAGCCAGGCAGGCATCATACTCCCCTCCCCGCCATAGTCCACCATTCTGAGCAGAGGTGGGCAAGGGCAGATGGGCACCCGTGCCATCTCACCCCACTTCTGGTGGCTAAAAATAATGGAGCCCCAGTTTGCCGTGTCCCTGTTTGGTGCCAGGCACGGGGCTCTGCTCTAGGCAAGCCCAGTTTTACTGTGTTTCCATAGCTGCCCTGGGAGGTGGTGCCATCTTATAGGCAAGGAAGCGGAGGGTCGGCAGGAAGACTGATATACCCCGAGATTCAGCAAAGACTTACCCTCTGCCTCCTGAACCGGTGCTCTCAAGGCCTGGTCCACAAGCTACCTCTCGCTGAGCAGGGTCTGCTCAAGGAACCGGCAAAGTGAGAGCATGGCTCTTGGAGTCCCTCATGCCCTGTGCTGGTCCTCTTTCTGACATGGCCCCAGCACACCCTCTGCTGGCCCCACCAGGCCAGCTCCTGCCTGCCAGTTTTGAGGCAGGCAGTGTAGTGGTCAAGAGGGGAGACTGGGTGGAGCAAACCTGAGTTCCAATCCCAGCTCTCCCAGTGAATTCCTGTGAGCCTCAGGCAAGTAATGGAGCCGCTGGGCCTCAGTTTTCTTATCTGTAAAATGGGATGATTGTGAAGATGTTTTTCCTTTCCTCTTCAGTTTGTTTGTTTCTTTCTCCCTTTCTTTCTCCTTACTATGAATATATAAAACATCACAGGTGAGGGGCGCCTGGGTGGCTCAGTGGGTTAAAGCCGCTGCCTTCGGCTCAGGTCATGATCCCAGGGTCCTGGGATCAAGCCCCGCGTCGGGCTCTCTGCTCAGTAGGGAGCCTGCTTCCCTTCCTCTCTCTCTCTGCCTGCCTCTCTGCCTACTTGTGATCTCTGTCTGTCAAATAAATAAATAAAATCTTAAAAAAAAAAACAACAAAAACAAACAAACAAAAAAAAACATCACAGGTGAGTGCCTGCATCATAAGCTCACTCTAAAACCAATGTCCAGATCAAGATGTAGAACAAGACAGGGGCGCCTGGGTGGCTCAGTGGGTTAAGCCTCTGCCTTCGGCTCAGGTCATGATCCCAGTGTCCTGGGATGGAGCCTCGTATCAGTCTCCCCCCTGCTTCAGTGAGGAGTCTGCTTCTCCCTCTCCCTCTGCCCCCCCCCCACCAAACTCATGCTCACTCTATTGCAAATAAATAAAATCTTTTTAAAAAATTAAATGGAGGTAAAATTTGCATAACACAAAATTTACCATTTTAAAGTATACAGTTCAGGGGCACCTGGGTGGCTCAGTGGGTTAAGCCTCTGCCTTCAGCCCAGGTCCTGGCATCGAGCTCCGTATCGGGCTCTCTGCTTGGCAGGGAGCCTGCTCCCCCCCCCCCCCCACCTACTTGTGATCTCTCTGTCAAACAAATAAATAATCTTTTAAAAAAAAAAAGTATACAATTCAGTAGCCTTTAGTACATTCACAGTATGGCGTAACCATCATCTCTGTCTCGTTCCAAAACATTTTCATCTCCCTGAAAGAAAGCGCTGCACTTATTAAGCAGCCACTCCTGGCTCCCTGCTCCTCCCAGCTCTTGGCAGCCTCTGATTTATTGTGATCAGTTTTCTGTGTCTAAGGATTTCGTTATTACGGGCATTTCCTACAAATGAATCATGCAGTTGGTGGTCTTTGTGTCTGGCTCCCTTTCATTTACCTTAATGTCTTCGAGGTTCGTCCATATCATACCTTGGATCAGCACTTCTTTCCTTCTTATGGCCAAACAACATTCCACTGTATGAAAATACCATGTGGTGTTTCTCCATTCATCAGCTGATGAACATTGGGGTTATTTCTACCTTTTGGCTATTGTAAACAGAACTGCTATGAACATTTGTGTACAAGCATTTGAGTTACTTGTTTTCAGTTCTTTTGGGTACAGACTTAGGAGTGGAATCACTGGATCATATATTCTGCATTTATAATCTGTATTTGTACAGGTTGTATAAATTGGGTCATATATTCTATAATTATAATCTAATGCAGTCTCTGTGATTAATTATATGTATTTATGCGTATATGCATTAGGGTTGTATATTCTGTATTTATAATCTGTAGTGTATTCTGTACTTAAAATTTTCAAGGAATCACCAGACTTTTCCGTAGGGCTGTAGCACTTCACATTCCCACCAACAGTGCACAAGGTTTTCACTTTCTCCCACATCCTCACCAGCACTTTTCTGTTTCTGTTCTGTTCTTTCTCTTTTATTATTATTATTTTTTTTTTTTTTAATTTTTTAGAAGGGAGAGGGACAGCGAGGAAGAGAAAAAAATCTTAAATAGGCTCCACAGGGCTCCATCACACATCCTGAGATCATGACTTGAGCTGAGATGGAAAGTCAGATATGGGGCGCCTAGGTGGCTCAGGTCATGATCCTAGGGTCCTGGGATTAAGCCCTGAACCGGGGTTCCTGCTCAGCCAGGGAGCCTGCTTCTTTCTCTGTCTGCTGCTGCCCCTTTTTGTGTGCTCTCTGTCAAATAAATAAATAAAATCTTAAAAAAAAAAAAAAAAAGTCAGACACTTAACTGATTGAGCCACCCAGGTGCCTGTTTTCTTTTTTAAATTACAGCCCTCCTAGTTTGTACGAGGTGGTAGCTCATCATGGTTTTGGCTTGCATTTTGCTAATGACTAATGACGTTGAGCATCTTTTCATGTGCTCGATGGCCATTTTTATATCTTTAGAGAAATGCCTATTCAAGCCCTTTGCTCATTTTTTAATTGGGCTATTTATTTTTTTGTTGTTGAGTTGTAGGAACTCTGTATATTCTGGATACTAGACCCTTATCAGAGCTATGATTTGCAGATATTTTTGCCCATTCTGCTTGTCTATGTATCTTCTTGATAATGTCCTTTGCACATCAGTTTTATTTTTAATGATCAACTTTATTTTTTTCTTTTGGTGCTTGTAATGTTGGTGTCATATCTAAGAATCCATTGCCAAATCCAGGGTCATAAAAACTTACCCCATGTATTCTTCTAAGAGTTTACCATTTTAGCTCTTATATTTAAGTAGATCCATGTTGAGCTAATTTTTGTATATGGTATATGGTGTGAGGCTGGAGGCCAGCTGTGTTCTTTTGCAGGTAGATGTCCTGTTGTCCCATCATTTGCTGAAGAGACTGTTGTTTCCCCACAGAATGGTCTTAGCACTCTTGTTGAAAATTGATCATATGTGTGGGTTTATTTTTTGACTCCCAGTTCTGTTCCATTGGTTTATCTGTCCTTAGACCACGCTAATTTGATTACCGTGGCTTTGTAGTAAGTTTTTGAAATTGAGAGGTATGAAGATTGACTTTTCTATTTCTGAAAAAAGAGTTGTTGAAATTTTGACAGGTGCCTTGCCATGTTGAATCTGTAGATCGCTTTGGGGAGTGTTGCCGTCTTAACATATGAAGCCTTCTGATCCATGAACATAGAATATCTTTGCATTTGTTTAGGGCTTTTATTTCTTTTAGCGGTGTTTTGTAGTTTTTAGTGTGTGCATCTTTTGCCTCCTTGTGCTATTGTAAATGGAATTTTTTTTTAATTCCCTTTTTGGATTGTTCATTGCTAACGTATAGAAACAACAGCTGGTTTTTTGTTTTTGTTTTTCTTTTTGTTTTTTAAAGGTTTTATTTATTTGACAGAGAGAGATCACAAGTAGGCAGAGAGGCAGGCAGAGAGAGAGGGGGAAGCAGGCTCCCTGCTGAGCAGAGGGCCCGATGTGGGGCTCGATCCCAGGACCCTGGGACCATGACCTGAGCCAAAGGCAGAGGCTTAATCCACTGAGCCACCCAGGCACCCCCAACAGCTGGTTTTATATGTTGATCTTGATGCATTTATTAGCTCTTGTCATTACTTGTTGATTCCTTTTGATTTCTGCAAATAAAGAGAGTTTAACTTATTCCTTTTCAAGTTCAGTGCCTTTTATTTCTCTCTTTTTCTTTGTCTCTGGCTAGAACTTCCAGTGTAGTGTTTAACAGCAGCGGTGAAAGCAGTAGACATCTTGTTTTTTTCCCCAATGTTAAAGAGAAAGTTTGTAGTCTTTCATCATCGAATGATGTTAGCTGTGGATTTTTCATAGATACTCTTTATTATGTGGAGGAAATTCTCTTCTATTCCTAGTGTGCTAAGTATTTTTATTACAAAAGAATGTCGGGTTTTGTCAAGTATTTTTCTGTCACAGTCAGAATGATCATGTAGGTTTTTTCCCCCATTCTATTAATATGTATTACATTAGTTGATTTTCATAATTGAACCACCTTTGCATTCCTGGGATAAAACCCTCTTGATCATGTCGCATAATCCTTCCTTTGTGCTGTTGGATTTGGGATTTTGCTGGTTTTTGAACTTTGTATACATTGAGTCATTTAGTATTGACATTGAAAAGAATTGAGTAGGGGCGCCTGGGTGGCTCAGTGTGTTAAAGCCGCTGCCTTCGGCTTGGGTCATGATCCCAGGGTCTTGGGATAGAGCCCCACATCAGGCTCTCTGCTCAGCAGGGAGCCTGCTTCCTCCTTTCTCTGCCTGCTGCTCTGCCTACTTGTGATCTCTATCTGTCAAATAAATAAATAAAATCTTAAAAAAAAAAATTGACTGAGTTAAGTCCTAAAAGATACTCAGGGCAGCACCTGACACAGAATACCATTAGAGTGTTACCTAATCATTGTCATCGTTAATGGATACCTCGGCGAAGACTCAGAGAAGTGAAGCGGCTTATTGGAGGCCACACAGCACACCCTGCTCAGAGCCCACCCTGCAAGCCTGCCTCCCGTGTGCCATGTGGGCGGGGGCCTGGCACAGTCTTGTTTTGCTTGCTTGCACAGGGGACCGATGATAGCAAGTGTTTACTGAATGCCTGTGGTGTGTTGGGCCCCAAGCTGGATGTCTTGTGGTTGCCATCTCATGTTTTCTAACAGCTTGAGCTAGAATTTGCACCCCATACAGTTCAGGAATCTGAAGTATACTGCAGTGGCCCTCGGTGCCATCAGAGCTGTGGAGGCCTCAGCCTAGTCACTTTAAAGCATTTTCACTCCCCCTTGGCCGTTCCCCTCTGACCTCCCCTCAGACGTCCCCCCCGCTCCCAGGCCTAGGCAGCCACTGGTCTGCTTTTCACCTATAGATTTGCCGCCTCGGGACATTTTATACAAATGGGACATCATTTGTGGGTCCCAAGCTTTTTTCATTTAGCATAGATTATGGTCTCTCCGGGTTGTATGTAGTGTGTAGTGATAACTTCTTCGTAGGACCTAGTACTGTTCTCTCGTCTGGATTTGCCACGTTGTCTCTCTGTTCATTAGCTGACGGACTTTCAGTTTCCACTTCTTACAATTATGAGTAATATTGCTGTGCACATTCACACACAAGTTTTTCTGCAGGTATGTTTCACCGTCTTAATTTAGTTCTCCACGGCCCTCTGGGGACTGGGTCCTCACCGTGCGGGCGTGTGTACACAGGGTGCTTGGATTTTCATGGTTTGAACAAATGGAAGCAATCAAGGGGCACTCAGAGGGCACAGCAGCAGTTAGACCCTGCCTGGCACAGTGTTGTGACATTTGATTGGCCCGCACGGCTGTCCTGGTGCATGCCAGCCCGTGGGATCTGGCCTTCCAGGGCCACAGGGCGTGTGTGCTTGGAAGCCCGGGCCTCCCCTGGGAGTGGGCCACGTGCTGGCAGGGACGGCCAGGCTGGCTTGCTGCTGGCCACACGCAGAGGCAGCCGGTGCCCCAGGGCAGTGCAGCAGGCGCCTTCCTGCCAGGCCTGACCTCTGGGTCACTGGGGCCAAGCCCAGCGCCTGGCCTGGCCCAGCCTGCGTCAGCAGGGGCTACCTGGAGGGGTACTCTCCTCCCTGCCCTGTCATCAGCCCTCCTCCTACCCGGGGGCCCTTGCGGGTTGCTGTGACACAGGGCCTCCCACCCTGACCACTCTCCCTGCCCCCTGCCCCGGCTCAGGTGAATACATCAAGACCTGGAGGCCCCGGTACTTCCTGTTGAAGAGTGACGGCTCCTTCATCGGCTACAAGGAGCGGCCTGATGCCCCTGACCAGACCCTGCCCCCCCTGAACAACTTCTCTGTCGCAGGTGCGTCTCGGGGCACGCCAGGCCAGAGGTCAGGTGCTCGGGGAACCGACCGCTGGCAGACCCAGGTGGCCCACGGGGCTTGGCCTTTCCTTGGTGTGGGCCTGTCCACGGCCTGCTTGCCCTCGGCTCCATTTCCATGGTGCTGGTGGATGTCAGGCGCCTGCCATCCTTCCTGCGCTCTGGTAACGGCCCACTTCTCTGTTCCTCTGACCTCGAGATGGACAGCTTGGCCTCCCTGCTCAGCTGATCGCAGGGCCAACTTCACATCCTCCGTCCCCTCTGTGGTACCCCAAGTGGTGTCTTCCCGCTGGACCCTGGCCAGTAAAAGCTTGTCAGGCCCAAATCCCTTGCCTGGTCCTCATAGAACCACAGTCCTGCCCCCGACACCCTGCCACCTGGATTGGTCTCCACGTCCTCATTGTCCCACCTCCTGAGAATATCTCAGAGGCCCCCCCTTCACCCCTGCTCCTCAGCCCAGACCACCAGCCTCTCCCACCCAGCTCTCCGTGCCAGCTTCTCCCACAGCAGCACCCGAGGCCACTCCCACCCATGCTCTCTGAATCCAACTCCAGTCTCCTCTCTGTCCTGGTCACTTTCCTTGTGTTCTATGACTCTGACGAGGCTGTGCCCCATGCCAGCTTCTCACTTGAACTGTCAGCCTGTCCCGAGCACCTTCCCCTGCACTTTCCCTGGATGTCCTCTCGTCCCGTTTACCTACCATGCCCCAAACTGGCCTTCAGCTCTCTTTGAGGGCTCAGTGCAGGGATGCTCCTTCCTCTGGGATATCCCTTGAGCTCTGAGCCAGGTTGGCTGCCTCCTGGGCGTCCCCCGTCACAGCTCTGCTCGCTGACCTATCATCGTCTGGTAGTCTGTCCCCCTCCCCGACACACACTGGACTTTGAGCCCCAGAGAGGCAAGCCCAGGGCCGACTCCATCACTGACATATCTCTATACCATCTGGCACACAGGAGGTGGCTCGGGGAATGTGGGCTGCAGGCCAGCAGGGCTGTCCCCTCACCCTTCTGGCTCTGTCCCCTCTCTCTGTCCGCAGAATGCCAGCTGATGAAGACTGAGAGACCACGGCCCAATACCTTTGTCATACGCTGCCTGCAGTGGACCACGGTCATCGAGAGGACCTTCCATGTAGACTCTCCAGATGAGAGGTGAGCTTGGGCCTCTGTGTGGCCACCCTTTGAGAGTGACCTGGCCTAGTGTGAGGAGGAGGGCCACAGAGTGGCAGAGTCCCTTAGGCTCCTGCCCAGGAGTTTCCTGTCTCAGCTCTTCTGAGAACTGGAAAGCAGGTTTTTTTGTTTTGTTTTGTTTTGTTTTTTTAGTTTATCTGATAGAGTGAGAGCACAAGCAGGGGGAGGGGCAGAGAGAGGGGGAAGCAGGCTTGCCGCCGAGCAGAGAGCCCAGTTGGGGGCTTGATCCCAGAACCCTGGGATCACGACCTGAGCCGAAGGCAGACACCCAACTGACTGAGGCACCCAGATGCCCTGAAAGCAGGGGTTCTTAGTCTGCAGACCTTCTTCTGCGTTCTCAGACTGGAGTGGGCATTGGACTCCTGGGTGGAGCCCAACAGAACGGAGCTTTGGGCCCACATCGGGGCCTCTCACTGCCTGCCGACCCACGGAGGGCCAGGGGGCCGCCTTTTTAATGAGCATCACCATTGATTTTGAAGCAGATGGTTCAGAGATTCAGTGTTAAAAGGATCGGTTTCATCATCAGAAGAGATGATACAGATTTACCTCGTTCAAAAGTCCCGTGTCGGGAGGTGTCTGTTACTTCTGCCCCATACAGCCCGTCCCCGCACAAACCACGCTTCTTCTGTGTTCTTGGAGAGCTTCATGGGTGGGCGGGCTCATTCAGATAGACTCTTGCACCCTGCTCCCCTGGTTGGTTCTTTTTACACAAAAGGTGGCATCATACACAGACTTGTGAACGCTGTTTTTCCCTCCGTGTGTCTTGGGGCATCTTTCTGCGTCAGTCCCCAGAGAGCCGCCGCCGCCGCTGCGCTGGCTGGGTTTGGTTTTAGGTGGCCACACACGTATCCCCAGGTTTCCTGAGCGGTTCTTGATGAATGTGATCGGGGTTGTTTCCGGGCTTTGGCTCATTACAGGCGGCGCCACAGTGAAGTACCCCGTGCTTATCTCATTTAACGGATGTGCAGGCAACCCTGGAAGAGGAGTTCTTAGGTGTGGGGTTTCTGGGTCCCGGGGAGCATGCATTTGCGATTTCTAAGCGTGATGTCTGAGAGTGTCCTCGCAGCCTTGTGTTTTCTAATGTTTGGATTTTTTCCGTCTGATCAGTGGAAAGTGGCACCTTCAGGTGGTTTTCACTGGCCCTTTTATCTATATGCGTGAGTTTGAGCATCCTCTCCTACCTTCAAGGGCCACATGAGTTTCCCTTTCTGAACTGTCTGTTCATAACCTTGGCTTATTTTTCTGTTGGGTAGTCAGTCTTCGTCTCATTTCTGAAAGCTCTTTATGTGTTAGGAAGCTTAGATGTGTATAATGAGTAGCTCATATCTTTTCCCCCACTTTGTCCCTTTGGACCTCACTTTGAGAAACACTCCTTTGGCTTGTCTGGGGGGCGAGGATTCAGCTGACGCTGTGGCAAACCCAGGAAAACGGTGCCATCCCGGAGAATCTTCAGCCATGACAGAAATATTCAGTACCTGTGGTGTCCGGGGGCAGGGGTGGGGTGGAACTGGGAGTCACCGGTGCCTGCTGAGCTTGTGAAATGTGAAATGGGGCTCGTGCAACCGAGAATTTTTATTTTTATTTAATCAGTTTAAACTTAAGTAGCCGCATATGGCTGGTGGCTTCCCTCTCAGATACCGTGTATCGAGTGGATGCACAGAACAATGTCGTGAGGTGTGTTCCCGTAGCCTGTGGCGTCACTGTCATTGCGCGGCTTCCCAGAGTTCAAGGTGTGCCTGCCCCGCCACCGGCAGCAGGGCTCCCTACCGCCTCAGGCCAGCCGAAGTGCGAGTCCGCTGATAGTTGCGGACAGAAACCGTGGACTGCCAGTAAACGCAGATGGAGACCAGTAGGTACCAGTAGGGCCTGGGCGTCGGAAGGTGTTGGGTAGGAAGGGGACGATGACGCCAGGAAAAGGGACCAGCGTATGCGAAGGCCTGGAGGTGAGGCAGATGGGTTGTCATCTCCAGGACCACAGAGGGTTCTTCGTCACCAAAGCATCAAGGGCCAGGGGCCTTGGGAGAGGGCCAGTGGAGGCCCTGCCGCCGGCGGGCTCAGCTGGGTCATGGACTCCAGATGGAGATCCCTCCAGGGCTTGGCAGGCCGGGAGTCAGTTGGGGTTTGTCTCAAGGTCACTGAGGGATTCCGGGGGGTGGTAAACAGGAAGCCCTTGATTCAGCCATACCTGGTGCACAGTTTGCAAGCCTGGAAAAGGAGCATTGGGGAGCTGGCAAAGCATTTGAGTAGGCAGGAGCCCCACTCTGCCTTCCATGTGGGTGAGATTCTGTGCTCTTCAGCATGGGGAGGAATCCCTTTGACGGGACTGTGGGGGCTAGACAGCCCCTGCCTTGCTCCTTTTCTTGGCACCTGCTGCTGCTGGAAAGAAATGTGCTGGGGCTGCTCTGAGGCCAGACTCCAGATTCCCGGCCTTAACCCTGGGGCAGGTGTGAGTTAGCAAGAGGAAGGACGCTCATTCGTGGCTGTCATCACTGGCCTGCCTTAGCAGGCTCGAGTCTAAGGAGAGAGGCGCGGGCTGGGGGCGTTGTCTAGAGGCCGCAGCGGCCTGTTCCCTGGGCTCCTGGTAGCCTTTCCCGGGAGCCTCCCCCGGTGTCCCCCCACCACCCCAACCCCCTTGTTTGAGATGTGCAGGAAAGTGGAGAGAAGAGTCAAAGAGACGAACGTGCAGGTGCCCTGCACCTAGACTCAGCAGCCCCGCTTCTGCCGCGGTGGCCTCATCTAGCTTTGTTTTGTGCTGAATTGTGTAATTCTGATCACACTTCTGACACTTGGCTCCTTCACACGTCAGCAGGCGTCTGCTAAGAATGAGGACTTTCTCCTACAGAGTCATGATGCCGTTACCACTGCTGAGGGGACCGTTCGCAGGACTTGCGATCTCTCCATGTCCGTGTCTACTAGAATTTCCCTGGTTGTCCTCAAAGTGTTTTTTAAGCCAGGATTCCTTCAGGGTATTCGTTGTGTCTTTGGCCTGTTAACTTCGTTCAGCCCTGTCTCTCACCCCCACCCCACCTCCCCGTCCCGGACAAGCCGACTAGTTGTCTTGTAGAATGTCTCATACTTGGGATGTGTTATCTTACTGCCTTTGCACCATTTACTTTGTTCCTCTGTGCCTGTATTTCCTGTAAACCAGAAATTAGGGCCTGAGCAGGGTTGGCAGACAAGGGCCCAGCCTCCTGCTTTTGCAAAGAAAGTTTTATTGAAACACACCATGCCCGTTCATTTACAAATTGTCTGTGGCTGCATTGTCCTATGATGGCCGAGTTGAATAGTTCTAACAGAGATCTTGTGACCTACCGAGCCTAAAATGTTCGTTCTTTGGCTCTTTCCAAGAGAAGTTTGGAGATGTTTGGTCTGAGTAGGTGTACTTAATAGTGCATTGGATTATTACGACCTTTCAATGTAAATCTTACCGTGTCATTTCTCTGTTGAGAACTCTGAGTGGCTTTACTTCCACTGGGAGTAAACTCCAGAGTTTATGCGTATTCTTTTTATTTTTTTTTTTAAGATTTTACTTACTTGAGGGAGCAGGGAGAAAGCATGCACGTGGGGGGAGGAGCAGAAGGACAGGGACAGACTCTGTGCTGAGTGTGGACCCCAGTGTAGGGCTCCATCCCACGACCATGAGCTGAGATCATGACCTGAGCTGAGATCAAAAGTCAGATGCTCAACCGACTGAGCCACCCAGGCACCATTTTTTTTTTTTTTAAGTAGGGTCCACACCCAGCATGGAGCCCAGTGCAGGGCTCAAACTCAGGATCTTGAGATCATGACCTGAGCTGAGATCAAGAGTTGGCCGCTTAACAGACTGAGCCACCCAGGGGCCCCACTTCATGCCATATTCTGCCCAGTGCTCCGTGATCTGGTCTCCTCTGCAGAATCATTTTCTATGGCTAGTTTCTTCACTGTAGCCACACTGGTCTCCTTGTAATTCCTTAAACATGCCAGACACTGCCTCAGGCCGCAGTAGCGGCCCCGCTGTGTCACTCGCACAGTGGATCTCGGGCTCTTGGCTGCGGTGGGAGCACACACCTCTTTGTGCCTCGGTTTCCAATCAGAAATGTCCCTGCTCTGTCCAGTGTTGTTGAGTGTGGAAGGGGCTCATGTCTGTGGAGCCCTTAGTTTTCTCCCGAGGAAGCAGCCGGCCCAGGCTGCCTGCATAGACTCATGCTTGCTGGTGCCTTGTCTCTCCTCCGTCCCCTCGGCCACCTGGCACCCTTTGCCTGGAGGACGGCTATAGTCTCCTGACGCTTCCTCTCCCTGCCCCTGACCCGCACCCCACTGCAGCTGCAGACGGAACACAGAAATCAGATCCCGTCACCCTTTGCATGGACCCATTACAGCTTCCTGGGCCATTCGGTTGAACACGTCCGTCCCTAACCCAGTGCCACACGGAGCCCGGCGTGTTCTGGGCCCGTCCTCCCTCCTCTCCTCGTCTCCTCTGTTCATCTCTGTCTGTCACCCCAGCCACACAGGCGCCCGCGGGCCTTCTGCAGACGTCCCGGGCTTCCCGGCTGCACCCTCAGTGCCAGAACACAGGCCTGGCACCCCGAGGGCGCTTGGGAAGTGTATGCCAGCTGGCTGGTGCCCCGTGGCCCCTTCTGAGGTCCTTGCTCCATGCCAGGCATTGCCCGAAGCACTCTGTGTCTCCTGCTCATTTCGCATGACCCTCGTCCCGGCTCTCCGTGTCAGCCAACTGAGGCACAGGAAAGTCAGATGGCCTGGCATCACCACCAGGAAGGGGCAGACCTCGGATTCACGCCAGGCCATTGGCTCCAGAGTTTGCTTTTCAGCCCGTGTGTCATGTCCTGGTGCATGGAAGGCAGATGGAGGCCTGAGAAGCGAGGTCAGGTCCCTCAGGGCCCCAGGGCCCGTCTGCAGTGCACTTGAGCTCTGGGCCCAGCTCCCTGCTCCCAGGCTGGTCTGCACTTGGCCTAGTGCTTCCTGGGGGAATGTGGCTCCTCCCAGTGGGCCTCCGGTGGCTCCAGAGCCCACAGGAGGGATGAGATGGTCCCTGAAAGTACTCCATCAATGGGGAAAGTGCTTTGAGTGCGGTGGGGGCTGGCAGGCTTGGGGCCTGCAGCTCTCGCTGGCTGGCTCTGTCATGGGCGCCTGCTGGCATCCCTGGGCCCCGGTCTCCTCGTCTGTAGAGTGAGCTGAGTGGCAGTGCCTGCTTGGGAGGGCTGTGGGCAGACTCCCAAGTTGAGGCACATAGAGCACCCGCGCAGCTTCTGGCTGCAGCGCGCTCTGCAAGCCGGTGGTGTTCCCCTTGCTCTGGTGGGGGAGGCCCTCTCGAAATGGTGGCCGGGGCCAGAACTCCCAACGGGCAGCTTTCCGCCCCCCCCCCCCCCGTGCCCGGGCTCCACGGCACTGTGTGCCTTCTCCCCGAGCCTTCCTGCTGGAGGGCCCTGCTTCAGCCCCCCGGGCCGCATCTGGGAAGGGAGCTGTTACTCTCATCAGGGAACAGCAGCATGGTGCCAGAAGGAGCACGAGGGCCCACTGTGAGTCTCAGCTTTGGCACCGTCTGTGTGGGTGACCCCCACAAGTGATTCGACCTCTGTGTGTCTCAGTTTCCAATCAGAAATGCCCCCCTCTCTCCAGTGTCGTTGAGTGTGGAAGGGGCTGGTGTCTGTGGAGCCCTTAGTTTTCTCATCATGTCTCTGGGGAAGGAGGGTGGCCCCCCCCCGGGGGCTCTCCTTTGAGGGCGGGAAGGCACAGCAGCCCCACCTCTGGGTGGGAGCTCCCCTCTGCCCCAGACACCGTGTTGCAAACCCTTAAGGAGTAGCCTGGGCCGCGGGCCTCGCTTTTTCTCTGGAATTCTGTGCTGCAACCTTGTAGTCTTGGTCCACTTGGAACAGGAGAGGGGGCTTGTCCGGCGGTGGGAGAGCCCCTGTTACCCCTGAACAATCTCCTACATGTTTGTGGGTTCCTTGGCTCCTGGGGAACCTGGGCAGCGTGAGCCAAGGTGGAGGGCTTAGGTCCAGTCCTTGCCCGGCGTCTTGAATACCTTCCTGGAGTCAAACCCTTCCTGAGTACCGTGCTCCCTACACAGCAGCTCACCTGTGCCACGGTGTCCCTGGTCTGCCAGGGAGGGGAGAGCTTGTCCTCAGGGCAGAGCTGCTGCTTAAGCCCCAGCCCGCATGACTCCTCAGTGCCAGCTTTGCGGCCCAGAGAGGCCCCTTGGAGCTGCTGCTGGCGCTCCCGTGGTGTGGACAAGCCGTCATTTATTCATCCAGGCTTCTGTTGACGACTGTGTTCCTCTCCCTTATAAACAGAGCTGACGGCACGCTCTGCGTCCTAGGCTTTAACTTGCTTTTTCATGTGACAGCCCCTCTGGGTGCGTATACGTCAGATACATATGTATTCTGTTCTTTTTGATGTCTCTTAGGAGATTGGTGAGTTTTTTTTCCCTTTCTTTTCTTGTTTGTTCTTTCTTTTTTAAAGTAGGCTCCGTGTCCAACATGGAGCCCAGTGCAGGGCTTGAACTCACAACCCTGAGATCAAGACCTGGGCTGAAGAGTCAGATGCCTAACTAACTGGGCCACCCTGGTGCCCAAGTGATTTGTTTTGTCTTCAGTCCACGGTCTTACACCTGAAGTCAGCATTTAAAAATCTCTAGGAGGACAATGGAGATCCGGTAAAGCCTCTCATGGGATGTGCTCACCCCGCCCGTTACTGAAAAATAGGAACAGGAATGTGGGGGTAGGGATTTATACTGTACTGTGTCCCAAAGAGGTCATGGGTCAAAACAAGTTGAGAAATGGCAGCCTGAGGCTTTGGCTCAGAGAGGGAAGAGGCCAGTCCTGCCCTGCCTGCGTGTGTGCTGGGCCTCGGTGTCAGCTGTGTGTGTACTGGGCCTGTGTGTGCACCGGGTCTGGGGCCACTTGAACTTTGGCCTCCTTGCTTGCTGGTTCCCCAGGTACCTACTGAGTGTCCACTTGGGTGTCGCGTTATACCACAGACAGACAAAATCCCTGCCCTCGTGGGCCTGACATACATGGGTTATGGGGCCCCTGGACTCAGCCTGGGAAGGGCCAGTGTGCCGGCACCGGCGTCAGTGTTGGCAGCATTTGTACATCTGTCTTATGAAGCAGCGTCTCCTGTGAGCAGGCCACTTTGAGACCTGGAGCTTCCAGATGTGAGCTGGGGCCTCTGGTGGCAGTGACTGCCCGGCTCAGCGAGCCGTGGAGCAGAGCGAGAGCAGCCCTGCCCTTGGCTCTGGAAGGTCACGGGCCCTCTGTGATTCCAGCCACCAGGCTCGGAACACCCACTATGCTTCTCTTGAATGGTGGGGTTTTTGTTTTGCTTTTTTTCCCCACCAATCTGTGCCTCAGTTTTCCCATCTGTAACACAGAAGGAGGGACGAGTGTGCTCTAGGAGTGTTTGTGATGGGGGGACAGTGGAATTAGACTCCCCCTTGCCCCTGGCTCCCAGATCCCCTCCCTGGAGGCAGCCAGGCCTCCGTGTCAAGCGTGCCCTTCCAGAGGGGTCCGCGCTGGGGTAAGCACACGTGCCTGCGTGTGCATTGCTCTTATTCTAACTCCAGCAGCGTGACACGCCGCCCTGTTCAGCATGTTCTTTTTTCCCTTAAGGTGTCTCAGGCCGTCCAGGTCTGCGTCTAGATCCTCTGAGCTGCCCAGTGTTCCTTACATAGAAGCTTCACACACATTCCCCGCACCTCCCGGCGCCCAGGGAGATCCAAGGTGCCATCACCTGGAGGCACACCATTGTTTTCTCTAATACCGTGCAAACTCGATACCCAGTTCAATTGAGATAGGCCACCAACTGTGAGGTGCCCCCGGATTCCAGTAGTGTCAGAACGCGAGGCGAGGTGCACGTGGGACTGCTGGGCGGCACGGAGTGGCCGTAGTGCCCCTCGGGGTGTGAGGAGCTGGAGGCTGAGTGCAGCCCCCCCAGGGTAGCCCCGGCTCCTTAGGCCGCTTGCTCCCTGCGTGACCTTGGCCGGGGACCTCCGTGCCTCGGGAGTGCGAGCACAGTTTCACCTCCTGCCCGGGGCCGGGCTGATTCTCGAAGAAGTGAGGCTGACCGGCCAGTCTCCCTGAGGTTTATCTAAACTGCTGTGGTTTGGAAAGTTGCCCGCTTGGGCTCTTTGAATTTTCTTGTTCTCAGTGTGCATTTTATTTTTCTCACCGTTCATGGGGCTGTTTCATAGACCTAAGTAAGCTGAGTCCATAGCGGGTTGAGCCGCTTAAAACTGTGTGGTGAGTCAAACCTGGGAGGGGCATGGAAAATGGAGTATCGTTCAGCCTCCTACTTTCTTTTTTGTGGCCTCTGGTTGCTTTTACTTCTTCCTCCTAGATCGCTTTTCCCTTTCTAGAGACAGAACAGTTTGCAAGTATCAAAAGAAAGCTATTTCCGAGCAAGTTCTAAATCGTGAGTGACAGAAATAGTTTATTCTTAAACAAGCTCCTTTTGGCTGGGACCTGCTTCCCTGTCTGCCACCTTCTGCTTCACGTCTCTGCCCCACTAGGAACCTCTGTCCCTGAGTCCTCCTGGCAGACAGCTCCCTCTGGGGAATCTTGCTGTATAAGATCTTCGGCTTTCTTTGGCTGATGAATTCTTCCTTTTACTCTTGGTTTGCTTTTACAAATCATCGCGCTTGTCATTTGTTCTGGAGGAGTCCCGAGGAGTGCTGTGGCTCAGGGTGGTGGTTTATTTTCAAGGGGCTGTGAAGAAAGGTGGTCTCCCTTCTTTGGTCATTGAATTATTGCTCACTTCAGGTGGCCCTCAGGCCAGGCCTCTCCTGGCACATAGATACAATCTCTGTCCTTGTTCCACTCTTACCCTCTCTTTACCCACTGCAGCCAGAGGATCTGCAAAATGTCAGTCCTGTCCGGTTGGCTCCCCCCCAGCTCAGACAGATCTTGCCAGAATGCTCAAAGGTGTTGGTCATTTGCTCCCATTGGAGGGGGTGGGGCTCAGTCCTTCCTGCCCAGGCTCCCTGGGACTCATGGCTCTTGTGACCTGTCCCTCGCAGGGAAGAGTGGATGCGAGCCATTCAGATGGTTGCCAACAGCCTCAAGCAGCGGGGCCCAGGTGAGGACCCCATGGACTATAAGTGTGGCTCCCCCAGCGACCCTTCTGCGGCTGAGGAGATGGAAGTGGCAGTTAGCAAGGCCCGGGCCAAAGTGGTAAGTGCTGCAGGGGCAGGCAGCCTGTCTGGGAGCACCCCTCCCCCCACCAACACTGGCCCTGCCGCCCTTGGTTTCCTACAGAGCGCATAGGGACGCGGCTGGGACCCTCCAGGACTGCCCTGTGGGATGGCTGATGCACGGGTATAGGTTCCCCAGGGCTGCTCTTTGACCCTGGAGGGAGGGGCAGCTGCATCCTCAGTGACCGCGAAGACCTGTCTGCCCCCATGTTGGACCCTCCCGGGGGCCCCCTGCCTGGGAGAGCCCCGGTCTGAAGGCCACTTCAGAGCAAAGAGTTGCTGCCCAGAGCCTCCCTTCCTGCTTATGCCCAAGCCTTTTGGCAACAGTGTCCTTTGATTTTTCTTTTCTCTTTGTTAAAATGTCCTCCCGTGGGCCATGTGCCAAGCACTGACTGCCCCACTCTTTCCCTCTCCTGGGCAGACCATGAATGACTTCGACTATCTCAAACTTCTGGGCAAGGGCACCTTTGGCAAAGTGATTCTGGTGCGAGAGAAGGCCAGTGGCCGGTACTATGCCATGAAGATCCTGCGGAAGGAAGTTATCATCGCCAAGGTGGGTGCCCCCGGGGCTGCTGCTGGCTGGCCACCTGCACCTTCAGGAAGCCTGAGGCCCACCTCACCCTGCCCTCCGGGCGCCCCGGGGACTAGGGTGGAGTGTCTGACTAGGCCTCACCCAGTGGGCGCTGTCAGGGTCTGAAGGCAGGTCTCCTGGCCACAGAATGGGCTGGTGGGGAGGCCCTGCGGCAGGGGGCGTGGCTCGGGGCCTCTCCATATGAGGCTGGACCAGAATGGAATTCTGTTCCTCTTTCTCTCCCTTTAAAGTTTTTAAAAGGGAAAGTTCCTGACATATACACCAAGTGTTTAAGAGAAAAGTAAACACAGTGGATTCCCGTGTAGCTGACATCCACCTTCAGTTGTTGTCAGTGTCTGGCCCATCTTGTTTCATTAGTCTGCCCCCCACTTTGTTTGCCCTGGAGTATCTTAAGGCACGTTCTAGACATCGTATAATTTCACCCATAGATACTTTAAGGTTTTATTTATTTATTTTTGAGAGAGAGCGAGTGAGCAAGAGAGCAAGCGAGCACACAAGCTGGGGGTGGGGGGGCAGAGGGAGAGGGAGAAGCAGGCTCCCCGCTGAACAGGAAGCCCGATGCGGGGCTCAACCCCAGAACCTGGGGATCAGGACCTGAGCCAAAGGCAGCTGCTTCACTAACTGAGCTCCCCAGGCGCCCCAAACCCATATATACTTAGATTCAGATCTTTAACAGCTAAAGATTTTTGAAGCCTTTAATGGAGCTGTGGTCTCCTCCAGCAAAGCTGTCCGTCCCCCCGAGTCAGGCTTCCTCAGCCTCAGCACTGTCGGTCTTCAGGGCCAGATCGTTCTCTACAGCGGGGCTGTCCGGTGCACGCAGGAGGAGTAGCTGCATCCTGGCCTTCGCCCCTAGAGCCACTAGCACCAAGTTGTGACCGTCAAGAATGTCGTCAGACATCATCATCGCGTGTCCCCTGGGGATGGACTCAGCCCCGGGAAGAGCCGGTGTCCCCAGTGCTGCAGGCGGTATAGGATTTTCAGCAGATACCAACACTTGAGCCCGTATTCAAGTGGCCTGCAGGGCCTGTGAAGCCTGTGCCAGGCCCACCCCTATGTATCTGATTCGGTGGGTCTGGGAGGGGTCTGAGAATTTGCATTTCTCCAAGTTCCTGGGCCACATGATGCTGCCAGCGTGGGGACGCACCGGGAACTGCTGCTCCCCGGGGTAGAGCCCCAATCAGCTCTTCTTCCTTTGTTCAGCAGCAGCACTTGGAGGGGTGATTCCCACTGCCTGCGGGGTCACCTTCAGGATCTTACAGGGATGGCTTCTCCCTCCTTAGAGACACTAAACTTGCCCGGTGGGTTCCGCAGGTGACAGCTTGAGCCCTCTGTCATAAAGTCCCCATCGACTTCTCCCCTTGTCGCTTTGAAAGTGAGCCACTGATGGGCCTTGTCTGGGGCATTTTTCTTTCTTCTTTTTTTTAAAAAGATATATTTATTTATTTGAGAGAGAAAGCAGGAGTGGGGGGAGGGGCAGAGGAAGAGAATCTTCAAGCAGACTGAGTACAAAGCCCCACAGGGGCTCAGTCTCCGTCTCACAGCCCGTGAGGTCATGATCTGAGCCGAAACCAAGAGTCAGACGCTTAACCCACTGAGCCACCCAGGTGCCCGTGGGGCCGTAATTTCATTCTAGTTTGCAGATGGTACTTTGCCTTTCTCTGTGGAGCGGCTAGGAATGGAAGTGCATTTCCCCGAAGCACTGCACCCCCATCCCTGAGCTGGGGGCGGGGGCAGGTGTGGTGTTGCCCGCCAGCCCCTCACCCAGCCTCTGTCTGCAGGATGAAGTTGCCCACACGGTCACCGAGAGCCGGGTCCTACAGAACACCAGACACCCGTTCCTCACCGTGAGTGCTGCTTCCCTCTTAGTCAGGGCCTGGCCTCCCTGTGTGCCATGAGAGACCTGCTTCCAGCGGGGCTCAGGAAAAGAGCCCAACCCTGCCACCTTGAAGCATGTTCGTGTCAGCCAGGTGGCCAGGGCCAGATGGTGTTGGGCTCCCCAGATGGCCTGAACCAAACCCCAGGTTTGGCAGCTTCTTCACAGATGGTGGCTTCATAGCAGTGTTTCGGCTGACTGATGATGCCACATTACAAGATGGTTCTAGGAGAGCTGCTGTTCATGAGTTAGAGGCTTTTAGCCCAGCTGGTCAGAGTGGGAACATTGTTTTTTTGTTTCTTTGTTTAAATATAGTCCTAGAAGGAGATGTATTCTTGTGCTGCTGTCAGCTTAGTCTGAGGAGACACCTCTGTGGGCTACAGTCTCCATCAGAGCCAGCAGCCATCAGTTAAATGGACCAGGTGGAAGATGGCTTATGAGATGGGTCATTTCCTTAGCTTAGCTGCTGTCCAGGTGTCGTATTAAGCCATGGCACTTGTTCAAATGAAATTCTATGAGGTACTTTGATGTGCAGACAGAGAATAGAAGACTTGTCACGAGCAGAGGGGTCACTCAGGGGTTCTTTGAGGAATTTTCTGTAGGGTTCCTTAGAGCATAGTGAGAATTGCTGTTTATTGGGCAGATCACTTGTGCATCCTTATCTTTGGGGTTGGCTCTCAAGCCACTGCTGACTCCCAGCCAGCAAACCTGTGTGTGCGCGTGTGCATGCAACACACCTGACTGTGGAGAGAGGTGAAACAGTTTTCGGTTGCTCAGAACTGAATGTCTCCCTGGCTATGCCTCAGAAGTTTCGTTGAAGGCTGAAGACACCATCCTTCAGCCCAGTAACCCTTTCCCTGCTCTCAGGGCCAAAAGCTCACTCGTGTACCCCAAGGCAAAGCTGAAGTTTGAGCCCCGGCTACAAGGGTGGGGGGTGTGTGTGCTTGCGGAATCAGCAGAGAGCCTACCTTCTTCCCACCTCCCTCCCCGGCTGTCTTCTGCCCCACAGGCCCTGAAGTACGCCTTCCAGACCCATGACCGCCTGTGTTTCGTGATGGAGTACGCCAATGGCGGCGAGGTGAGCAGCAGGCCCCCCGCCAGCCTCCCATGTCTCCTTCCCAAGCGTCAGGGCAGCGGAGGGGAGCCACGAGTGAGACAGTGGGGGTGGCAGGGACCTTGCTGGATGTCACCGCCCAACCCTTGAGGCAGACATCATCACCTCCATTTCACAGACGGGGAAACTGAGGCCCAGAGAGGTTAAGTGGCTTGCCCAAGTTCACCCAGCTAGTGAGTCGGGGGTAGGGTGCACACGCAGGTGCTGAGAGGTGTGGAGGGCTGTGGGGTGGGTGGCCAGTGTGCTCTGGACTGCATCCTGTAAGGCAGCAAGGAAAATGTATGGGGAGGGGGTCACACAGGCTGGTCCATGCTCTCCTGCTGGGAAGAGGCCGCCACTCGTCGTCACTGGGCTGTCACCTGCTCCTCATCCCTCACAGCCTTCTCCCTGCGCACAGGTGTCACCCGCTGGCTCCTAACAGTGGGCTTCATCTGTCCCATTGTTCTCATGGCTTATTGTCCCTTGCTCGTGACTTGTGTTCCTGCGCGTTCTTGCTCACTGCCCCGTTCCCCTGCCCCCTCACTCTGTCCCTCCTGACTCTCCTCTTGATGCTTCTTGACTGTCCTTCGCTCTTCATGCCCCGCTCCATGTTTTCCTCATGGTGAGCTCGTCCCTGCTCACCATCTCTCACTTGGTTCCTCCTGCTGTCACTTGCAGTTTCGGGGAGTAGGTGTCGCCATGGCACTGGGCTGGAGGTTGGGGGCCAGTGGGCAGCATCCTGGGTTTCTCTCCTCTGGGCCAATGTATGACATCCTGCCCCTCCTCCCTCCTGCAGCTGTTTTTCCACCTGTCCCGGGAGCGCGTCTTCACGGAGGAGCGGGCTCGCTTCTATGGCGCAGAGATCGTCTCTGCCCTTGAGTATCTGCACTCGAGGGACGTGGTGTACCGTGACATCAAGGTGAGCATGCACCTGCCTCCTGGCCCATGGCACCTGTGGAGCTCACACCAGGGAGGCTGGACCCAGGCCCTCAGCCCCGGACCTCCTCCTCCGTGGAGGGTCTATCTACCTGCGTGTTCCCGAGTCCACCTTGCCGTGGGATGCCGACCCGCCTGCCTCAGCGGCCCTGGGGGCCCTTTGGGACCCCTGGTGAACACACACCTCCATGCAGGGAGTGGGGGGCTGGGGGAGGGGCGGGCGTATTCATCCAAGCACCGTAGGAGATGGTTCGGCAGAATCCACCAGCGCCGACTATCCGCATGCCCTGTGAGCCAGCCATTCTGCCCTGGGGTTGTGCACGGCCGGAGCATGTCCCTGTGTCCCCCTCAGAGCCTAGGTGCACACACGCTGCTGGCACACAGTTCACACGAGCCCCAGGCTGGAAGCAGCCCCACGGTCCGCTGTCCGGGACTGGCTGGAAGGCTCTGCACAGCCGGTACCGAGTGAACTGCGGCCCCACGGCCATGCACATGCACCTCCCAGGCTTGTGTGGAGCGGAAGCCAGGAGACCACATGTTACAGGGGCGTCCTTAGGTGGGGAAACTATGAAGAAGAGTGGAGGACTAGAGTTTGTCTTCAGTTGCAAGGATGGTTCATAACAAGGAAGGGGTACATGAGGGGGGGCGGTTCTGGGGTCTGGGATGGTCTCTTGACCTGGTGGAGCTTCCACACAGGCCCGTTAAATTGCCCATTTGTGTTAAGTTTAGTTAAAAGTGGAGGAAGAAGGACATCTGGTTGGCTCAGTGGGCAGAGCACACGTCTCCTGATCTTGGGGTTGGGAGTTTAAGCCCCATATTGGGCCTAGAGCTTACTTTAAAAAAAAAAAAAAATGCAGGAAGAAAGCTAGTGTTGCTCACATGCCAGCCCGGGAAGCTGTAGCCCATGGTGGGGGCTGCAGGTAGGCAGGGCCTGTCTCCCATCTTTCTCTACCTTGGCTTTTTTTCCAGCTGCCCTGGGCGTGGACTCCCTCTGAGCTGCAAGGGCTTAACGTTTTGCTGGGGGTATGCCCCGTGGTCAGTCTGGAGCCCCGGCCATGACAGCTATCACCCCAGGCCAGAGCCTTCCTGGGGCCTGTGGGGTTCCGGGGGATGCAAAGCTTTGGGAAGACGTGACCCTGATATGTTGACTTTTCCTTTTCCTGCAGCTGGAAAACCTCATGCTGGACAAAGATGGCCACATCAAGATCACGGACTTCGGCCTATGCAAAGAAGGCATCAGTGACGGGGCCACCATGAAAACCTTCTGTGGGACGCCCGAGTACCTGGCACCTGAGGTGCCTGGGGCTGGAGGTCCCCGGGCGGGTGAGGCCGAGGGAGGAGGGGCCCTCAGACCTGTGTGGTTTCCCTAGCTCAGACCCTGTGAGGACAGGCTCCCTTTCCTTGGATGGCCCCCCTTGGGTCCCTGTGAGCCCAGTGGCCCCAGGGCCATGGACCTGGCCCCTCATTGCCCCTCCCTGCCCAGGTGCTGGAGGACAACGACTACGGCCGCGCGGTGGACTGGTGGGGGCTGGGCGTGGTCATGTACGAGATGATGTGCGGCCGCCTGCCCTTCTACAACCAGGACCACGAGCGCCTCTTCGAGCTCATCCTCATGGAAGAGATCCGCTTCCCGCGCACGCTCAGCCCCGAGGCCAAGTCCTTGCTTGCTGGGCTGCTTAAGAAGGACCCCAAGCAGAGGTGAGGGCTGGAGTCTGTCCTGCCCAGCCCAGGGCCACCTGCTGCCACTGTCCCCTTGGCCTGAAGGGGGCTGAGTCACGGGCACATGCCTGTGTATCATCCCTGATGCAGGCCCCTAGAGAGGACACTCTTGGGGCCAGGCTTGTCCTTAGTGCTCTGCCCGCGCCATCTTGTTCTTGGGGGACTCTCAGAGACAGGGCAGCCCCGATCCTGGCTGAGGGTGGCCGAGCCTGCCCCCCTGGCTCCCGTTCTGGACTCGGAGTCCAGGTTGCAGGCTCCCTGGCTCTGACCCTGGGCCCGTGAGCCCCCACCCCCACCCCCAAGCCATGGTTTCCTCCTCTGCCATGTGGTCTGTGGCCGGGACAGATCCATTAAAGTTGTTCAGGGCCTGCACCGAAAGCCTCTCGCAGAAGCCGAGGGCCCGGGAGGCGGGTGCTCATGGCCGTCTCTGCCCAGGCTCGGCGGGGGGCCCAGCGACGCCAGGGAGGTCATGGAGCACAGGTTCTTCGTCAGCGTCAGCTGGCAGGACGTGGTGCAGAAGAAGGTGAGCCTTGCCACCCGCCGGCTCCCGCTCAAGGGTGGCCTTGGCCAGGTCTCCTGACCCCAGGGTCCTGAGTCTGGGCTCCTTTCCTCCACAGCTTCTACCACCCTTCAAACCTCAGGTCACCTCTGAGGTCGACACGAGGTACTTTGACGATGAGTTTACCGCCCAGTCCATCACAATCACGCCCCCGGACCGCTGTGAGTGTCTGGCCCTCCCTTGCGGGGCCTGGCTGGGTGTGCAGCGGTGGGGCCTGCCCTTGACCTGTTCCGGGGAGGAAGCTCATGGGCCCCTCGCCATGTCCGGGCGGTTTGGCTGCAGTTTGCTCGCAGGGCTTTCTGCCACTGGGCTTGGCACCTTTGGACCCAGTGAGGGTCACCAGGAACCATCAGCCATGGCACGTTCCAGAGCTCGGGTGGCACACAGGAAGCCATCAGGGCCAGGATGGCATAGTCACAGCTGTCTTTTCAAATTGCCCAGGTCTTTGGGGCCTGATTGGTGCATTGCCTCTGCTCCTGTTTGAGTTCTTGCTGTCACTCAGCCATTGCTGGGCTGTGCTGGGGATCCTCCAGTGACTGAGACAACCCTGGCCCTGCCTTGAGGGAGCTTTGGGCCAGGTGGGGCGACAGCCCAGAGTGTTCAGGTCTAAGGTATAGGAGCCCAGGGACTGGGGGACCCAGAGGAAATGCCTGACTTGGCCTGCGAGTCAGGGCAGGTGGCTTCCTGGAGGAGGAGACGTGGCAACTGAGCAGAAGGAATGGCATGAGGGAATGGAGTCCAGGAGTGGGAGTGTTGCAGAGGCCAGCGCATCTGGGGGCTGGAGGGGGGCGGGGGCCAGAGCAAGAGGATCTTGGGGGCCTCTGGGAGGAGCAGGGACTTGCTGTGTGGGGAGGCAGGAAAGGTTTGGTGCAAGAAGGGGCAGGGCTGCCTCTGGGCTTTGCAGAGTTCCTCTGGCTGCACATGGAGGCTGGACTGGCAGGGCGGCAGGGGCAGCTGGTGCGGGAGGGGGGGGCTGGGCTAGACCAGAGGGGGGCGCCAGAGGGGAGAGTGAAGTTGGCAGAGGGAACAGCCTGTGGGGCCTGTGGGCCCAGGCTCTGGTGTGGGGGGGACCTCTGTTAGGGGGAGTTGCTAGGTCTTCCCTGTCCCGTTCTTGCGGATGGCCTGCCAGTCGGGGTTCATGCTACCCGTATTCCTTCCTGAGGCCGGGCCCCCTTGCCCACCCCCGGGAGTGCACTTGGGGTGCTGGGTCCTCCGCAGGCCAGTTCTCCCCAATCCACCTCCACCTGCTCCCCACAGATGACAGCCTGGGCTCTCTCGAACTGGACCAGCGGACCCACTTTCCCCAGTTCTCCTACTCGGCCAGCATCCGCGAGTGAGCAGAGCCGCCCACCGCCGCTGACTCCGCTGCAGGACGCTAGATCGGCTGCCATCACCGCCCTGGGGGCTTGTCTCTTTGTTTTTAAACTTTTTATTTTGCCTTTTTTTGTTTGCATCCCCATCCCTCACCTGCTCACCCCCATTTCCAGTTTTTTCAGCCCTCTGCCAAACTGACCTCGGCGGTCCTGGTGGCCCCGCCTCCAGGATCCTGTCCTGTCCTCACCTTGGTGCCCAGACCAGGATTTGGGAGACTCCACTGGCCGCCCCAGGACCAGGGCTTCGGGCAGTTGGAGAGATTCCGGTTTTTAATCAACACAAGCCCCAGCATAGGGCGCCACGTGGAGCTGCGGGTCCTGCCCGGATTTCTGGCCAGATGCCTGCAGCCAGCCTGTCCCTGTGCCGCTGCCCCGGTCAGAGGCTGCCTTCCTATGGGACACCTCGTGGGACACAACGCCCTGCGGACAGTGCCCTGGTGCTGTTGGGCTCAGCGCGGCCTGGCACGGGCGGTCCGGCCCCTTCCTCCACAGGGGCAGCAAAGCAATAATGTCCAGGGACAGGCGGGGGGGTCCTTTGGAAGCTGTGGGGTTGGGGGTTTGGGAATCCCTCGTGTAGATGGGGCCCAGTCTACCCTAGGGGGCATGAGGAAGGCCCCGGGGTTGGGCACTGCCTCCTTGCCCTGCCTTCCCCAGCCTCCCAAGCTGCTCTCCTGACCCTGTGGATGAGGAGGGAGGGACATTTAGGGATGAGCCTCCCCACCACCCAGTCCTGTGCCTTACCAGGGCTTCCTTCCGGCTGGCCTTAACTCCTGCTGGGCCCCGGGCCTGGCCACAGCCCTTGCCAAGGATGGGGGCTGGGATCACCCCCTTCTGGCCGCCGGGGGCGGAAGGTGCCAGCTCCAGCTGTTACACATCTCACACCAAGACAGTATTGGGCCCCGTAGACTAGGGTCAAAGAGGGGGTGGGAGTGGGGTTCTCTGGTACGTACTGGGGGGGCGGCCTCTGAGAGGGGAGGCTCCAGGGCCCTTCCCTCCCTCCTCTCCCTGGGCCCCACGTTCTGCAGCCTTAAGGTGAATGTGTGTCACTGCTGTGGGCTCGCGTGTGCGTGCGTCAGCCTGTGTCTGGATGGCCCCATGCATCTGGGACTTGGGTGCACATGGGGGTGTGTGTGCATGTGTGTTCAGTATGTGTGTGTGAGGGCAAGCGTGTCCCAGCCTTGAGTGCGTGCGTGCGTGCGTGTGTGTGTGTGTGTGTGTGTGTGCATGCTTGGGCCCTGTCCTCAGCCCTAGCATTTCATCCCATAGGGGAGGGGTGCTGGCCTGGTGGGGGAGCCACACCTGGGGTCCATTTGCTGCCCAGCCTCCCTCCCCCCTAACATCTCCGGGTGTGTGGAATTTAGTTGTGGCTTTGATCTCCTTGCCCCACCTCCTGTACTAGGTAGTTCAGAGAGAGACATCCTAGGGTGGGGTGAGGGTTGGTTTGGGTGGGTGGGGGGTCTTTTTCCTTTCTGTGTGTGTATGTCATTTATCTGACAATTCTCTGTCCTCCCCACTGGCCTTCCCCATTCCTCCCATTTGTACGGTACAAGCAATAAAGACACTCGTTTCAGACCGGGGCCCACCGCGCTGGGCCCTTCCTTGCCTGCGGAGCCTGGCCCTGGCTGACCCGCTCCCGGGTCCTGGGCACCTGGAGCCGCGCTTGTCCTCTGGCCGTCAGGGTGGGCGCCCCTGCGGCGGGAGCCGCTGAGGGACTTGAGACGCTTCCTGGGGCATGCGGGTGTGGCAGACCGAGACCTGGGGACCAGGTCTTCAGAAGCTGAGTGGAAAGGGGGAGCATGAGGGTGGGGTGGTCGGGTTGGTGGCTCTGAACGAGGAGGGTGCTCAGGCACCACTGAGCCCTGGAAGCGAGCGTGAGGGAGCGGGTTCTCTGCGGGGGCCCTTGGGCCCTGGTGCTGGGCACTGCCTGCATATCCTCTTCTCCCCACTTAGGTTATACCAGGGAGCCTTAAGGCCCCCAAATTCCAGCACAGTCCTTGGTGTGTGAACTGGAGTCGCGATGGCTGTCAGCTGGGGGCATTTCTGGTTACAGCCCTCACAGGCTGGGGTCCTGACGGCTGCCCCCTTTACCCTGGGGTTCCCGTGCTTAGCTTACTCTGCCCACATCTGGGGACCAGGGCGGGTGCGGCCCTGGTGAATTGAACGTCAGACTTTCCAGAAGGGTTGGGGCTTCACAGACGTGGTCTCAGAGACCCTGAGTGAGGGTAGCAGAAGAGTCAGATTCAGTGTTCTAGGAATCTGCGTTCGCTGCAGCCAAGACCCAGGGAACGCGTGGCTTTTTCTCACTTCACATCGAGTTTATTATTTATTTGATAACAAAAGGATGTCCTGGTGGTCGTAAGACCAGTAGCAGAGAAGCTTCTAAAGAAAAGCCTTTTCGCTTTCTCTCCAGTTGAAGCCCCTGGGGTGGATGTCACCCCTCTTGCTCTCTGGCGGGGGGCATCCTGAGTCTACCTCAGCCCGCTGGGTCCCCTTGCGGCCCCCGGGTCCCCCGTGCGGGGCCCACAGGCTGACACTCCGCTTCCCTCTGGCAAACGTAGCTCCCTGGCCGTAGTGGTGCTTCCTTCTGTAGAACTTCTCCCGAAGGGACTTTCAGGTGGGAGCATTTTAATAATAAAATTTTATCAACTGGAAACTAGTTTTGAGGAGGTGAGTTTGTCTTTTGTTGTGCTCGTGGAAAACTGTGTGTATTGTGTAATAACGTGAGCAACGCTGGAGCTGAGGGAGCCAGCGACGTGGAGATGCGCCCTGATCCCAGGTCCCCAGCGCTCCCCCTGGTGCTCGCTCGTTTCCTCCCTGTGAAGGTGCACGGAGCATCAGAAAAAAGGCTCTCCCTTTGGTTTGGTTTGGGTTCGGCACGGCTTGCCTCCCAGTTAATGCCGAGTGTCTGGACTGCACCTGCCGCATCTTTCTGGCGTCCTGCCCGGAGACGGACATTATTAATGGGGTGTTTTGGTCACTGATAAAAATGAGAGCCTCCAAGATCTCTTCTTATATTTCGGGAACCTCCTCGCCAACATGATGCAGAGGTCCCTCAACTGATCCAGCCACCCCCAGTGGACAAGAATTGACTCGGTCTGCAGGTTTTTTGGTTCTCCTGACGGTGCCGGCATGAACTATAATGATGCAGCTTTCCCGTGCTTTTGTCACCTACGTTCCAGGGTGGCTGGAATTTAAAACGTGTCTGTTAGCTTTCTAGAGTGTGCTGATTCACATATTCTTACCTTTATTTTTAAAATAATTGCACGTGGAGGCTTGGAGCAGAAAACTTCCAAAAAGAACAGTACTAAACATGATTCTAGGCGCGGAGCGCCGTGTAGTGCCCTGAAGTGAGGACCCGCTCAGAAGCTGGCAAGACAGAGCCTCCTCGATGGGGGGCATGAGAAGGGACTCGGGGGCCCGTGGAAAGTGCTCCCGCTGGGCTGAGAGAACTTGGAGCAGCAAAAGAAATAGGATAGCACTGGCTTAGATGCAGAGATCATGATCAGTGAGTTCGCACGGAGGTCGACGGTAAGTGGTGGGAACAGACGGATCTGAACGGACTTCCAGGTGGTTTCTGTAGATGCTGTGCCTCCGGGGGGGGGGGGGCACCCCCCCTTACGTGTGGGCTGCAAAGTGACTTCCTTCCGAAGGAGACAGTATAAGAAGTGGGGAAGCAACTTTTCTGTGAAGAAATCTGACACGTTATGTGACGTGATAAAGGTCAATGTCAACCCTGTAACTCCTGTTGGCAGGAAGTGCCCTTTACAGGTGATGAGGGTGCTGTCCCAGTTGGTCCATGGTTGTGACAAATGTACTCTACTGGGATGTTACAGGGGAGAGTAGGTTTGGGTTGTAGGGGAACTCTCTTCTCTCTTTGCAGCTTCCGGTAAACCTACTATAAAATTAACCTTAAAATACAAAGTGTTCTCATCGACCCTTCACGTGGGTTGCTGTGCCACTTCCTGCGCACTCCCTCCTTCTCCCCTTCCGTGTTCACATATCCTACCTGAAGCGAGAACATTGTCTTGCACGACCACAGTTCAGTTTTCCGGGTCAGAAGGCAAATACTGAAACAACCCTCTCCTCGCAGATCCTTATCAAATTTGACTAATGGTCCCACTCCTGTCCTTGTACACGAGGGAACAGTCACTTGGCTGATGACTCCTGTTGCATTCGGTTGTCTGAAGCCTACAAGGCACTTATTTTACAGAATGTCCCTTAGTTAAGGTTTGTGGCCTGACGTTCCTCATGGTTCTAGTCAAGCTACCTTTGATAGGAAGTCTGAGAAATGCTGTGCCCTTCTCCCTACCTCCTGTCAAAGAGGCACATCAGATTCTGTCCCGTGACTGGTGAGGACTTCCAGCCCTTGCTAACAGTGTCTGTCAGGTGTCGCCACTATAAAGTTACTTCTTTCCCTTTGAGGTTAGTATCTTGCATAGAGATACTCTGAAAATGTAGGTATCTATGTTTGATCAAGTGTTGAAGCAAAGGGAACAGCAAACACAAAGGCCCTGAGGCCAGCAGGGGCTGGATGTGTTTGGGGGAATGGAAAGAGGCCAGGGTGTGTCAAAGGGAACGAGGGAAGGGGAGAACAGAAGGAAATGGGATTAGAGAGGTAACAGCGGGCCGAAGGGACCTTGTGGCCAAGGTAAGGAGTTCGGGTGTTACTCTAAGTGTGACAGAAAGTCATTGGTTTGGCGTCTCGCATTCCTCTGCTCACTTTAACATCCTTGCTGACCTCCCAGTGCCTGAAAACAGCAATCCCTTTCCTAGCTCTGTGTCTTTGCTCACGCCACTCCCACCCCTTGGAATATTCTCCCCTCCCTTTGCATTCCTGGCCCCTTGCCTTTCAGGTTTCAGTCCAACATCACCACCTCAGGCCCTTCCAGGCCACCGTTTCTAAGTTATGTGCTGCCTGTTCACTTACTCATCCAACAAATATTTCTCGAGTACCTGCCGTGTGCCAAACTCTGTTCTAGGCGCTGGGAATACAGCAATCAAACAAAACACCAGACAAGCCTTGCCCTCCTGGGGTTCACAGTCTCATCAGGAGGGAGACAGTAAAAATGATCAGGCAGTAAGTGCTAAGGAGAGAGTCAGGTACAAAGAATAGTGATGGGAAATTCTCAGGATAGCCTTTTTCACAAGGAAGGTAGCATCTGACTAAATACCTTAAATGAGGGATCTCTGGAAGAGGAGAATTTCAGGCAAGGGAAACAGCCAGCGCAAAGGCCCTGAGGTAGAAGTGTGCCTGGTGTGGGTGAGAATGAGCCAGGGTGCTGGTGTGGCAGGAGACAGCCGAGTTGGGGGGAAGTTTGGGAGATGAACTCAAAGGTGTGTGGGGACGGGTGGGAGGGTAATAAAGGACCTTGTGGACTTTCCAATTGAGGGAGATGGGAACCACAATGGAGTTCTGAAGGGAGGCAGAGTGCGATCTGACTTGGGTGTGCACAGGATCCCTTCTGGCTGCTTGGCGTGGGGGGTAACAGACCGAGGGGTATGGGAACCAGGGAGCCGTGAGGAGCTCTCTGCGCTAGTCCAGGCCCATTGCTGGTCATTTGTCTTAGTTTTGAAACAATACTTAATTTACAGCTGAGGAAAGAGAGCCTCGGAGGGGCTGTTTCTGCTCGTGCAGTAAGTAGCAGGAAGACTTTTTGACTCCAGCTGCCTGACTTTATGTTCGGAGGGGCCAGAGCCAACCTGCATAGCATTCGCCATCACCTCTGCACCTGCCCGGGAGTGGGGGGCTCAGCGCGCATGCGTGCAGGCACAATTTAAAGCGCCCGCCGAGGGTCCTCAGCCCCAAGAGGAAGAGGAGCCCTCGGCTTGGTCCCCCGACGCCGGCGTGGAGGATGCTGGTGAGACGCAGCAGCCAGCGTCCCGCCTCAGGCTTCTCTTCAGCCGCTGACCCCCACCGCTCTCCCTTGCAGAGTCCCGACGCCGCGTCCCCCGACCCTCCGAGCGCCCCAGGCCCCAACAGGATCCCCGAGGACACGAGCGTGTCTCCAGGACGCCAGGAGAGGCCCCCTGGGCTGTGCGCGCCACCGGGTCTGGCCGAGGCGCTGAGCGCTCTGGGGCTGGAGGGAGAGCGCGAGTACGCCGGGGACATCTTCGCCGAAGTCATGGTGAGCGCGCCCCAGAGGGCACCAGAGGGGTTGGGTTAGGGGAGGGGAGATCTGGCCGCTCGCCCAACCCCCACTCCACGAGCCTTCCCGAACTCCCACCTGCTTGCAGCCACTTCTACTCGTCCCTCGCACGGATTCCTTCACAAACACTTTGCAATTTATTAACAAACGTGCTTGAGCATATTCTAGGCCCCGGGGATGCTGTGATGAACAACATAGTCTGCTGTCATTGTAACGACCAAGCAAACGTAGGCGGTAATAACGGAAAGGAGACCAAAGTGCAGGCACCTGTGCCGGACAGGCACTGTCCGAGGACATAGTGCAGGGATAAAATTGTTAAAGAGACCGAAGTGGGGAGCCTCTCTCCCCAGCCAGGACTCTGTTAGGAACTGAGCTACGGGCATGATCCAGAGAGAAATCCCTGCCCTTGTGGTGCCAGCAGCCTAGGGAGGCAAACGGACAGAACACACAAGGAAACACTAGCTATCTCCAGACTGAAAACTCTACGGGAACCATAAAGTGCTGACACAGAGCGGGATGGACGCTGGGAGAATTCTGTGTAGGAAAAGCCCAGGGAGTTTGAGCTGAGGTTTTAACAGTGCAAGGAGCTGGGGAAGGACCATTCCCGGTGGAGGGAACGGTGCATAAGTGCAAAGGCCCTGGGGTAGGAAAGAGCCTGCCCTAGTCTAGGACTAGAGAAGGCTGGTGTAGCTGCAGTATGGGTTGTGAAGGGAGAGGGCGAAGAGATGGTGTTGGTGCCAGGGGGCAGTGCCTGAGAGAGAGTGATTAGGGTTCTCTCCTGAGGATACTGGAAGCCGTGGAAAGGTTTTAAGCTGAGGAGTTTCTCGGCCAGTTTTGTATTTTAGAAAGACCCTTCTGGGTTCTCTGAGGAGGGTGGGTTAAGGGTTGGTGACGGCTGATGGTCTGGAAAGCCAGGGGGCGGAGGCAGATGCTCGGGAGGCGCCCTGGCCATGGGGGCTACAGACTGGAGAGGTGGATTGGGGAGGCGTCCCGAACAAAGGCCAAGGCTCTAATGCGGGATAAGGAATAGAAACACATTTGGAGTAGACGTTGGAGGCCAGTTTCAGTGTGGTGCTCCAGCTTCGGCCACTTGGTGCGGGGAGGCTGCTACACTTGGTGCTGGAGCGCAGGCGAGAAGCCGAGGCACAGGTGTGGAGAGTGAGGCCGCCCTGCCCAACCGCAGGTGTGCCGTGCGCTGCCGCGGAGGGCCCTGCCCGGGACCGTGACCCCAGAGATGCGCGCGCTAGTGGTGGACTGGCTGATCCAGGTGCACGTACGTAACCGCCAGGGGGCAGGGCTGAGCCCCTGTCGCAGCCTAGAAAGCTGGTGATCACTCACGCCCTTCCCTAGGAGTACCTGGGCCTGGCGGGGGACACGCTCTACCTGGCGGTGCACCTCCTCGATTCCTACCTGCGCGCCGGCCGAGTGCGCCTACACCGCCTGCAGCTGCTGGGCGTGGCCTGCCTGTTCGTGGCGTGCAAAATGGAAGAGTGCGTGCTTCCCGAGGTACTTTCCCGAGTGGGGGTTGGGAAGGCGAACCCTTGTTCGTCGTGTCACAGAACACCTACTGTGTGCCGGGCTGCGGCTTTGCCTATTCTTGGAATCCCAGCATATCTGTATAAGGCCAGGGCTACCAATGTGTCCCTTTAGCAGAGAAGGAGACTGAGGCCCAGGGAGAGGAAGACATTTGTCCAAAGCAGGTGGGACTCGGACTCAGGCTTGAACAGTTAGTCTCTGTAGCGCTTTACTAGTTATAGTCCGTGCCTGCTCAGAGCTGCCTGGTGACGTACGTTTTACAAACGAGGAAATTCCGTCTCAGGTGTTCAGTGAGGTCCATGTAAACACGGTGTGAAAATGGTAGGGTTTGAAGTCGAACCCAGGTCTTGCTGATTCTGAAGCCTGTGCTCTTCATGGCTTCTAGAGAACAGATCAGTAGCCTCATTTTACAGACTAGGCAGTCGAGGTTCAGAACGGAGCCTGAGCCGATCCGAGGCTCTACAGGGCAGGGAGCAACCAGCCGGGGTCCAAGACTCTCCCACCTCTTTCCCCGCCATCCGCAGTCGGCCTCCCTCTGCCTCCTGGGCGCTGGCTCCTTCTCGCGGGCCGAGCTTCTGCGTGCCGAGCGGCGCATCCTGAGCCGCTTGGATTTCCGGCTGCACCACCCGGGCCCGCTACTTTGCCTCGGGCTACTGGCTGCGCTGGCCGGGAGCAGCCCCCAGGTGCGGGGTCTGGCCGGGCGGGGGGAGCAAGGGGGAGGGGAAGGGAGCAGGGGGGCATGTCTAGAGGGTAGGGACGTGGCCTGATCTCCGCGGGGGCGGTGGTGCTTGGCAGGTGATGCTACTTGCCACCTACTTTCTGGAGCTGTCTCTGCTGGAGGCCGAGGCCTCAGGATGGGAGCCCGGTCGGCGCGCAGCTGCGGCGCTGAGCCTGGCGCACCGCTTGCTCGAAGGGGCGGGCTCCAGCCTCGAGCCCTCGCTTTACAGGTACGGCCCCAGGGGAGCGCCTCTGTGGCTACAGGAACCTACTTTCCTGATCACTGTGTTTCCTGTCTCAGAGAATGAGAGACCATGGCGGGGGTGGGGGGTGGGCAGACTTGACTTTTCTGGGTGTGAGAGAAAATGGTGTGTCTGCCTCCCCCGTCTTGGGGGGTGTCAGAATGAGGTGTTTGTCCACATTTGGGGACCCTTGCTCCTGGGTAGAAGATGCACTATCTTCCCGGTCTCGGAAGATCCTAGCTGCGTTCCAGGGTTGAGGATGAGAGGTCTGCCACTCTCGAGTACCCCCGGCTCCCCTGCTGGCCGCGAATGGGGTGTCCCTTCAGCTGCCAGAGGGGCGCCCCCCCGACCCCCGTTAACCATGTCACTGGAGGCCAGGGTGAGTCCCCTTTTCTCCCAGCTCAGCACCCACCCCCCCGGGTAGAGCTGGATGTCTGTCCATCCTCAGACCTGCTCCGTCCCTTCCCGAGGTTCCGGCTCTCCAGTGGCTCGAGAGAGCCCCTGAACGGTCCTCGGGAACCCCAGTCAACGCGTCTCCTCAGCCTCGCGCCCCCAGCTCCGAGGACAGGTCGTCTTCACCCCTGCCCCTGCCCCCGCCTCAGTTTCTCCATCTTCCCGCCGCAGCCCCGCAGAGCTGCGCCCGCTCGAGCCGTGCATGGCCCGCGCCGCGCTCCGAGGCCCCGCTCCAGGCCGCGCCGCCATCTTTCTCAAGTACGCGCGGCCCCAGCACCAGGGCACCAGCCTCGCCGCCGCCCGCCTGCTCCGCCGCCCCCAGTCCGAGCCTCCCTGAGCTCCAGGACCCCAGCAAAAAAGACTGTCCGTGTGTATCCATTTCCCACGTCAATAAAGGAGGTGTGTGGGGTTTTGTTTTGTTTTGTTTTAATCCTGAGCGCTTTCTGTTCTCATTGGGTGAATTCCGACCCCCCTCTCGCTTTTGATTGGTCACTTCTCAGGCCTCTCCTCTTTCTGATTGGATGCTTTTTACCGAGTCCCTTAATGGCGGCTGGGAGATATGACGCAAATTCTGGACCGCTCCGCCAGGGGGCACTGGCGGACGTCCGCAAGCGCGGCTTGAAAAGCCAAAACTAGGATCCCAAGTGCAAACGCCTGGGGAGATAAATGGAGAGATGCTGCAATTTGAGTGGCTCTCGGATTCAGGGCTGGGAAGAAACTAGGAGGGATGGGGACTGTGGGAAGCTATCCCAGTCATAAGAAATGCTGCCTCGATGTTGCCAGATTTTCAGATTTTGCTCAAGTGAAGCTGAAAATCTACAATTCCATAAGTATCTCTGCTTCCATATATTAGCAACTAATTCAATATTTTTTAATGGTTGCACAAGCCCAGCATATCACATATTCTGGCCTGTGGGAGTCCTGAGTTTGTGATAGTATGGGTCTTTGATAGCAAGTGTTCTATTAATGGGATCTGATTTACTTAACCCCTAGAGTGCCACGGTGTGAATGGGTATAAATAGTAGCACCGGTCTCATAGAGGTGTGAGGAGGGTGTGAGTTAATATAGACGTAGAGCTTTAGGACAGGGCCTGACACCTAGTAAGTGTTATGGAATTGCTAGCACAGCCTCCGAGCAGGAGTGTGAGCTAGGTACACTTGTCCCTGGTTTCTATCAAACCCCCAGCACCTAGCTATTTAGTAAGTGCTCAGAAAATAATTGTTAGAAATCCATGGATCTCCACACTCTCTAAATTAAAAACAGGCCTGAGGTGATCTCAGGAACTCAAACTTAAAGAATATTAGATTCTTAACCAAGCCTAGGTTTGGAGGTACAATAGAGGAGGAAGTTTTTGCCCTGGAGATGTTCACGCTTGGAGGACTAGAGAGGGGGAGAGACTCACTCGGGAAAGCTCGATAAGAGATAGAAGCAAATATTGCCACTGGGATGGAAGGTGCTGTGTTCCGGTTTGGACCTGTCAGGTGGGACCCGCCATGTGGCCTCCTGGAAGAGGACATGCAGTGGCAGGGGGAGGGGAGAGTGGAAATTTAAGTTTGGTGCTAGGGGCTGTGAGGCCCAAGCCAGGGTCCTGCAGGGTTCAGGGGAGGTGGGTAATATGTAGAGTACATAACATTATTCATCCACTCATTCCTTCAACAACTGTCCTTGGATGCTGACCCAGCCAGAGCTTGTGATCACGCACCTCCCAGTCTCATAGGTGATAAGAAACAGGGGTTGTTAATTTGTCCATTCCTGTGCCAGGCCCCATGCTGCTTTATCTGCATAACGTAATTCGGTCCCTACAACTACTCTGAAGTAAATTCACTTGGTATCCCCAGGTCACACAGAAGGAAGGCAGGGGGAAGCCAAGCTCCCACCACCAAGTAAGCAGCTAAGGAGGGTTGAAGGTCAACTATCTCATTCACCCTGTTTTTCTCCTAAAAGCCTCTCATGTGATTCCTTTTCTGTATACTCTTGTATTCTTGTGCTACTCACTGTGGGCCATCTCTTGTCTGCTTTTCCTACCCAGGCTTTTCCTACCCAGTGAGCTTGGGGAGGGCAAGAAGCAGGTCTCTTTTGTTCATTGAGTTATTGCCTTCTCCAGGAAGCCTTCACTCACCACCTCAGTCTAAGGCAGTCACCTCCTCTGGGCCCTCACATCCTGTTGTGCCTCCCCAATGCATCCCACCCTGGCTACTTTGCCACAGCTTCCCAGGCTAGACCATTGGGGCTGTCACTCTCTGGTCAGTGGTCTGTCTCCCGGCTGGACTAGGGGCTGAGGCTCTCTCGGTCCCTGCTCTTTCCCACCACCGCCCAGACCAGAGCCGGGTACAGAAATATCAGTGAATATTTGTTTGCGGTATAGATAAATGAGTTTCCAGGTTGCTATCATTGTCCTACGGTACTGATGAGGATATAGAGTTCCAGGTAATTTGGGTGATTTGCCCAAATACTATCACTAGTGAGAAATTATAAGCAGGGAATTGAATCTGGGCAGCACAAGCCTGTGCTCTTATCTAAATCCCTGAAATGCCTAGGGTCTGAAAACCGGCTTTCCACGAGGTTTGATATCTTCCGTCTTTTTCCCGTAGACTTGTTTTCCTTCCAGAAAGCTGTCGGAGCTTTGGGCAGCGGGGAGGAGAACAGGCAGGAGGGTGGGAGTAAGGGGAGTGGGAAGAAGGGAGAGGCCGGTTGGAGAACTAGGGCTGGGGCTGATTTGGAGGATAGAAAGTCCTGAGGGGTTTCTCTAGACCCATAGGGGGCAGGCGGAGTCGGCTGCCGGAGGTGCGGGGGCGGAGAGAGGGTGGGGATCGGCCCCGCGGGGGGCGATGCGGTAGCTGCAGCGGCGGCCGCAGGAGTTTCCCACAATGCAGCGCGGCGCGCTGTCCCCGGTGCTGATGCTCAGCGCTGCCCCGGAGCCTCCGCCGCGCCCGCCTCCCGCCCTCTCCCCGCCGGGTCCGGGCCCCCGCCATGGCTCGGCTCGTCCCAGCCCTGCCCCCGAGCCGTCGGGGGGCCTGGGCGCGGCGCTCGACAGCAGCCTGCGGGCCGCCGTGGCGTTCAAGGCGGAGGGCCAGCGCTGCTACCGAGAGAAGAAGTTCCGGGAAGCCATTGGCAAGTATCACCGGGCACTGCTGCAGCTGAAGGCGGCTCAGGGGGCCCGCCCTGGAGGCCTGCCCGCCCCCGCCCCCGGACCCGCCAGCAGCCCGGGGCCAGCCCGCCTCAGCGAGGAGCAGCGGCGCCTGGTGGAGAATACGGAGGTGGAATGTTATGACTCTCTCACGGGTATGGGGCCGTCGGGGGGGCGCAGAGGGTGCATACGGAGAGGGTTGGGGAGTGAGGGGCAATCGTGAAGCCTTGGGTGGGGGGCTGGAGGCTGGAAGGGCCCAGACCTGGGGTCTGTGAAGGGAGACCCCAGAGCTTATCAAGGAGAGGGGTTGGGGGTGTTGGAGAACACAGGGATAGAAGGGCTGAGATGCAAGAAATGGGCTTTGGGCTGTTACCTGCGAACCTCAGATGAGAAAATCTTACCCGGGATTAGCGATTCAACGCCCCATCCCTCACCTGAGATATCCTTTAGTCCTCTCCCCTGCAGAAACTTCCCAGCTAATCGCCCGCGAGCGCTTGTCTGTGTTTTCGCGCCCTCTAGCGGCCGCGCAGATTGACTCTACCCTGATTGGTCAGAAGATCGGCGGCCCCAGTGGCCTGAGCAATCCCTAACCCAGGGCTCAGCCTCCGTAAAGGGCTGGGCGGCTCCTAGCAGTCAGGTGAGGTCTGGGGGTGCCGCCAGGCTCTGCGAGCACCGGCCCCGGTGTCCCCGCAGCCTGCCTGCTGCAGTCGGAGCTGGTGAACTATGAGCGGGTGCGCGAGTACTGTCTCAAGGTCCTGGAGAAGCAGCAGGGCAACTTCAAGGCCACCTACCGCGCCGGCATTGCCTTCTACCACCTGGGCGACTATGCACGCGCGCTGCGCTACCTGCAGGAGGCCCGCAGCCGGGAGCCCACAGGTGAGGGCCGGACCAAGCAAGGAAAGGGGCTAGAGCAGAGAAAACAAGGAAACACGAGGGAGGATCAGGGCAGAGCTGCTTCAAGGAAGGGCTCTGCCTCCTCCCCAGGATCTACCTCTCCATCCACCCACTCCTTACACTCGGGCACTCACCTGCCATTCATTCACCCCTCCTCGCCCCCCTCAATGTTCCCCTGGCATTCACCCAACCCCCTCCCATCTATTCATTGACTCATCTATGCCTCCCACTCACCTACTCAGCCACTCCCTACTCAGTCACCCCTATCTCCACCCACCCCCCATTCTCATTCATCCACTCCCTACTCACTCACCCCTCCAACCCCCCCCCACCCCCCATTCTCATTCATCCACTCACTAACCCATTCACACACCCACCTAATCATTCCCCTCTTCACCCACCCGCTGCTGGTGGAGCACTTGCTGGGAGGCAGACCCCAGGGCGGACAAGGCTAAGAAATTCTAAGGGGTGGGGTCGGGTGGGGGAGGCTTGGCAGAGCTGGAGGCTTGTTGCTTGCTCTCTAAGACATCATAGTCGGGGGGGGGGGTGTTGGGGACAGGGGACAGACACAGCATCAGTCTTGTGTTGAGAGCCAGCGACAGGGGAGCAGAACGGGTACAGGTCCCAGCCAGGGCTGTGGGAGCAGAGGCAGCATGAGTTTTCCCGGTGAGAGGTTTAGAGGGAACAGACATCTCGCAGATGTTCTTGGGAGGGTGGGCAGAAGTATGACAGCAGCGTCTGAGCAGAGGCATTCTGGCGGTGAGCACAGCAAAAGCTAAAGTGTGGAGGTGTGAAAGGCCCCCGTTCCGCTTGTTGTGGCTGGGGCTTCTGGAGGACTCTGGCAAGAGCGGCTGTGCGGGGGAGCCGCTGTGGGCTGGGCAAGGTGAGGTGTGAGTGGCCGCGGTGTGGATGCCACCGGCTGTCCCTGGACACCCAGGTAACGCCATGCCCACCTCCCCCACAGACACCAATGTCCTCCGCTACATCCAGCTGACTCAGCTGAAGATGAACCGTTGCAGCCTCCAGCGGGAAGACAGTGGGGCCGGGGCCGGGACTCGGGATGTCGTTGGCTAAGGCCAACCGAGGGGGGTTGCTTTCCCTCCCCCCACTCCCACCTCACCGTGTAACTTCCCCTGACTCGTGTGTTTGCTGGTAAAGCACTTGTCACTGGTGACCGTAACCTCTTTGTGTGGTGTTCTTGTGGGGATCAGGGGGAGACCGTACCTGGGCTTCCCCCTCTGGATCTTGGAAACCCAGAGGCTCAGGGAGGAAATGTGGGATAGGGGGTGGGGGTGCCCTCCTGGGGATGACCCAGG